GGATTTGGCATTTTGTCTACCTATTGAATCCTTACCCAGGACCTGGGAAAGGCAGATGTGGATGTTTGGTGGTATTACAGATATCGTCGCAGGATGGAAGCAGTTCCTAGTAAGGCCGCCTTTTGCAATTGACTAATAGCGAATTTGTCAATGCCAATGGTGTTCAAGTGGTGCTCCAGTTGTTTTGGGATTGCACCCAAGGAGCCTATTACTATTGGTACTACCCTTGCTTGCTTTTGCCACAGTCTTTCTATTTCTATTTGTAGGTCTTTGTATTTTGTTATCTTCTCCAGTTCTTTCTCGTCTATTCTGCTATCTCCAGGCACTGCCACGTCCACTATCCAGACTTTTTTGTCTTTCTTATCGACAATTGTTAAGTCTGGGGTGTTATGTTGCAGGTGCTTGTCTGTTTGAATTCTGAAGTCCCAGAGCAGTTTAATTTTATCATTTTCTATGACTTTCTCTATTTTATGATCCCACCAGTTTTTGCTTACAGGCAAATGATATTTTTGCAGATCTTCCAATGCACCATTGTTGCTATTTTGTCATGCCGCTGCTTGTAGTCAGTCTGTGCAATCTTCTTGCAACAGCTTACCAAGTGGTCCACTGTTTCTTCAGCTTCTTTGCATAGGTGGCACTCACTGTCTGTTGCTGTCTTCTCAATTTTGATTTTATATGCATTTGTCCTTAAGGCTTGGTCTTGTGCAGCCAGAATTAGTCCCTCGGTCTCTTTCTTCAATTTTCCTGCTCTTAGCCATTGCCAGGTTTTATTATTATCTGCTTTCCCAGCTATTTTTTTCATGTATTGGCCATGTAGTGCTTTGTCTTCCCATGCCTCTATTCTGTTCTTCATTTGGTCTTTCTTGTAGGCCAGTTTGGTCTCTCCAGTAGTCAGTAAGCCTTCCTGATATACTAATTTCAGTGCATCTTCATCATTGTTCTTCAGATATTCTTCCAAAGCCATTTTTTCTTCTTCAACCATTGTAGCATTCCATGCCCACCTATTTCCCTTGGTAGATGAAGTCTGTCAGTGTCACTGCGTGGATGAAGGGCATGATTCATTGTCATTATTTTTCTGGTCTTCCTATCCATTGCTTTTAGTTCTGCTTGAGTGCAGTCCACTATTCCAACTGTGTACCTAATGACTGGGATTGCCCAGGTGTTGATTGCCTTTATGGTATTTCCTCCATTGAGTTTGGATTTTAAGATCTTCTTCACTCTCTTGATGTATTCACCGCTAATCTTTTTCTTGATTTCAGTGTGCTTGATGTTGTCAGCTTGAAGGATATCCTCATCCAGACTCTTAATGTTATCTTCGTGGGGCATCTTGATTCCTTCAGTTTTCACTATTTTTCCTTGTTTGATATTAAGTGTGGCACATTTGTCCAAGCCAAACTCCATTACAATATCTTGGCTATATATACGGACAGTGTTGAGCAGCGATTCTATTTCAGATGATGTTTTTCCATACAGCTTCAGATCATCCATATAAAGGAGGTGGGATAGTCTGGCAGATGTTTTTGATGTTTGATAGCCATGTCCTGAGTTATTCAGTATTGTTGACAGAGGAAACAGTGCAATAACAAATAGTAATGGTGATAATGAATCTCCTTGAAATATTCCTCTCTTGATATTAACCTCTCCCAGCTTCTCACCATTGATCTGCAACTGTGTCTTCCATTGTGCCATCGATCTTTGCACAAATTTTCTGATGTTTCTACTGACTCCTGTTATTTCTAGGCACTTGATTATCCAATCATGTGGCAGAGAGTCAAATGCCTTTTTGTAGTCAATCCATGCCACATTCAGGTTGGTCTTCCTTCTCTTGCAGTTTTCCAAGATCATTTTGTCTATTAGGAGTTGATCTTTTGTTCCTCTGCTATTGGGGCGGTTTCCTTTCTGCTCAGGTGGAAAGAGATTGTTTTTAACTAGATGCATGTTGTACTGCATCAGTTACCACACCAGTTAGTAATTTGAAAGTTGTTGGTAAGCAGGTAATTGGCTTGTAGTTGCCTGGTGTTGCCTCTTTTGCTGGATTTTTCATTATTAGGTAGGTTTTCTCAGTTGTTAGCCACTTTTCAATTTCTCCTCCTTGTAGTATATTGTTGAACTGCTTGGCAATGAGTGGGTGTATAACAGTTAGATGTTTCAACCAAAACCCATGCAGTTCATCTTTACCTGGTGCTGACCGGGTTTTGGTTGAAACATCTAACTGTTATTACTATTATTATTATTATTATTATTATTATTATTATTATTAATAATGAATATGTAGGGTTTTTGCCACAACACTAACTTCATAGGATAAATTCAGCTTACCAACAAACATCCCTATCTGACCTGTAGCTGGCTCTTCCTATTTTTAAGTCCAATACTTTAACCATCATACCATTCTACCATGATTACACTATGTGGAATTTCCCAGTGTCAAATGCTGGAAAGCTATTTGAAAAAGGCAGAAGTGGAACAGATCCAAATGTGCCAAGTGGACTGAACAGAATGATTTCAGTATGTATTTTGGGAGAAGACATCTTAGTTAAGAATGGGAGACTTTCATGGAGAAAATATGTCTGTATTGTTGCTAGGAGTCAAAAAGACTTGATGGCAGATATGAAATAATGATTCATATTTTTTGATATCATCAGAACTCTTCTGTTGTTCTTATTGGATGAAGAGACAAATGGATTTCAATGGTATTAAGTTTGGCCTAGCAAGAAGTAGCACAATCCAGCTTCCCCAATTTGAGAGCGTGGCTCAGTGAATCTCTCCAAAAATTGCCACTGAATTGTAATTTATAATGTCACAAAGGAGGAAATTACTGAATACAAGGAAAATAACCATATGGATGGCATTAGAATATTTTAATTGAAATTAAATTTAAGAGCTGTGGCAGAAAACACTATATTTGCAATTGGTGGGAACCTATACTAGTAGAAACGAGAATGATGATAAAAAGAGATGGGATATGATTCAGGAAGATTTAACAAAAAGCAAGAACAAATAGTGGAGCATACATTTTAATAATTTACATTAGACTCTCTTTTTGAATTTGGATTACATCAGTAGTACTATATGTATACTTTTCTGCTTAATCTGAATTAAGACTACTCACCTCTCATATAACTTTAAAAAGTATCATGCACTTCAATAGCTCCTAAGATGATGTGATAATGCTTTTCCTGACCTCATGAAGTTGGAAAGAAACTGAGTTAGGGTTTCCTGCCTGAGCGGGGGGTTGGACTAGATGACCTCCAAGGTCCCTTCCAACATTATTATTACTATTATTATTATTATCAGAATATCTGAATGTTTGTGCAGGCCATACATTGATATCATCGACTGTGAAAGCACTTCATTATAAATTGCTTTATTTACTACTAATATTCAGAGAATAATAATTACCATTTAATATTTCAAAATAGTACCTAAACTGTTTCATTTAAAAATATAAACATGGTTTTTTGGTTACTTAAGTAATATTTCTTTGCCACATGAACAAAGAAAGTCTTGGGGATGTAAGAAGTAATACAGAAACATGTGGATTGCATGGCAAGGGTTGGGATAAACAAGTTATTAAGCCAAGCACTTGGGAAACAAATGCGTTATTAAAATACACAGTGGTTGAAATTAATTCTAACAGATATTGCAGAAATAAGTTGAAAGATCTTTAATGCTAGCTTAGATAGAAAGAAATGTCATCATAACTGTATTTGGTTTGGATTGTTGTAAATACAGGTAGTTCTTGATTTATAACCATAATTGAGCTCAAAATTTAGGTTGCTAAGTGAGACAGTTGTTCAGTGAATTTTGCCCAGTTTTATGACATTTCTTGTTAAGTGAATGACGGCAGTTGTTAAGTTGTAACATGGCTGTTAAGTGAATTTGGCTTCCCCATTGACTTTGTTTGTCAGAAGGTTGCAAAAAGGTGATCACATCATCCCAGGACACTGCAACTATCATAAATATGAGTCAATTGCCAAGCATCCAGATTTTGATCTCATGACCATGGGGATGCTGCAACGGTTGTAAGTGTGAAAAATAGTCATAAGTCACTTTTTTCAAGGATGATGTAATATCAAACGGTCACTAAATGTAAGACAAGGACTACCTGTAGGTATATATTGGATTGATGGGATGGCAGTAGTGAAAACTTTTTGTGAATCTCTGATGGCATGGTCAGTTTGGATGTGAGCAAGAACCTAGGAAAATTTAGAAGCTGATTTGCTGCATTATGAATGTGTGCTTTGGGGATTTTCAGCATTGTTGACAAATCCCCAATTTCCATTTATGAATAGCTAAATTGTTAATTATTAAATATTATAATATCTTATGTGTTTGCTTGTTTGCATCTATCTGAAATATGATAATATCACAATAAGCAATTATACTTATGTTAATGTTTTTGTGGTGTCTTAATTGAGTATGGGGAGTCAGTTTGGTGTAGAGGTTGAGGGCATTGGATTAGAAAACGGAAGAGCATAAATTCTGGTCTCACCTTCAACATGAAGCTAGCTGGGTTACTTAGGGCCAATAACTCTCTTTGATTTGTAGGAAGATGGCAATGGCAAATCATTTCCAAAATGTTGCCAAAAACACTGCAAGGAATTGCATCTCATGTTGAATATGCAGGAACTGGTTCCTCCTCAGGGTCTCATATTGTATGTTATCACTTCTGTAATGCTGTTTTGCAAGTAACCTTTGTGTTGGAACTTTGGGAAAAAGTTACATTCTATATGCAACAATATGTTTCTGGGGCATCCTTCCATAATCAGGATGGATAGATGGATGGATGGAAAGAAGGAAGGAAATTATTGTTCAGAAAAGATTATAATATGACTAAAAGAAGAAAACAAGAGTACTGATTGATGATTCATAGAGCTACTGATTTAAATATAGTGTCACAATGAATTAAATAATGGCACATTTATTTTGTTTGAAATATAAGCATAAAAGAAATCTAGTGAATTACATATTAAAATTATTTTTAGTTCTTTCAACAGAAAACGCTGTTCAGACAATCTGATGGATGAGGATGAGAAAGACAGGGCAAAGAGGTCAGTAGCCAGTTTTTTGGGAAACATATTTGTATGTTTAACACAGCTTTTTATTTTAGAAGAAAAACAGCAAGAAGAGAAGAAACCTGGTAATATTAAAAAAGCAGTAGAATCTCCATAATTGTTTTGCATCATTCTTTTTTGCATTTTTGCATTGAATATGGGAATGTGAGAAATGCAGGATTCTTTCCTTCATTTGTTAGCTGTAGGAATTTGAATTTACAACACTAGGGTATACTTTCAGCCAAAGCAATTATGTTCTCTTAGCTCTTTGTTGTCTTTTAGTTTATTTCATTCTAATGTAAAGAACTAATTTTTTTAAGAACAGATCATAGTAATAAATAAACATGAGTGATTCCATGTCATTCTGTTCATAGGGCTTCACGTAATAAGTCTGAAAAGAAGAGACGTGACCAGTTCAATATTCTCATTAAGGAGCTAAGTTCAATGCTTCCTGGAAACACACATAAAATGGACAAAACTACAGTTCTTGAAAAAGTCATTAGCTTTCTTCAGAAACATAATGGTAATTCTTGTGTTATCTCTCAAATTAATAATTACAAGTTGTCTTAATATCCATTGCTTTGTAATTAAAACTCAGATGCAAATCATTTACTGCAACAGGTTGCTATTTAGCTGAAAACAACTATTTTCCTTTGAAATCATTTTGAGATCTTTCAGTTCCTAACAGCTCTGCTTTGAAACATTTTGTTAACGTAAGGGTATTTAAAACTTAAGATGGGTCAAATTTTATTTATTTTACAATTGTTCTATTATTTAAATTGTTTAAGAAATACATTTTAACAAACTCCAGTTTAACCAATTTGCCAGAATTAAGAATTTAAATAGATATGGATAGTTGGAAATTTTGAGAGTCATAGCTAATCTCATAAAATGACTGCCTTAATTGTTACTGCATATAACAATCATTATTTCCTAGAAGACATATTGGAAAGGTAGATTTGAAATTGGAAGTCCAGAACATCAAACACTCTTTTGAATCCACTATTTTAATCTCTAGCTTCCAATTCTATATGGTGATATCCATTCCACATTTTGGTATTCCTCAACTTATAACTACAACTGTGACTGCAACGTCTGTTGCTAAATGATGCAGTTATAAATTGCAACCAATTTTACTATCTTTTTTGCCATGGTCATTAAATGGATCACATGGTTATTAATCAAATCCAGCTTCCCCCATTGACTTTGCTTGTCAGAGACCCTCTGGGACAGTGGTTCTCAACCTGTGGGTCAGGACCCCATTTGGGGTCAAATGACCATTTCACGGGGGTCGCCAAACCATGCTGTCCGCCATTTTTTTCCCTTTTCCCTAGCTGTCCTACTCCCTCTTACTGGTGGCCACACCCACTTGGGGGTCACCACAACCTGGGGAACTGTATTATGGGGTCACGGCATTAGAAAGGTTGAGAATCACTGCTCTGGGAAGTGGGCAAATGGTAGTCATGTGATGCTACATATATGCTGTTTGCCAAATGCCAAATTTTGATCTCAAGACTGCACGGGTTCTGCAGCATCGTAAGTGCAAGGACTAGTCATAAGTCGCTTTTTTTTAGTGCTGTCAAACAATTGTCAAATGAATGGTTATAAGCTGAGAATTACTTGTACCGTGAGAGAAAAAATTATTTGATCCTCTGCTGATTTTGTACATTTGCCCACTGACAAAGAAAAGATCAGTTTATAATTTTAATGGTAGGTTTATGTTTAACAGTGAGAGACAGAATAACAACACAAAAATCCAGAAAAATGCACTTCAAAAAAGTTATAAATTGATTTGCATTTTAATGAGTGAAATAAGTATGTGATCCCTTATCAATCAGCAAGAGTTCTGGCTCCCAGGTGTCTTTTATACAGGTAACAAGCTGAGATTAGGAGCACTCTCTTAAAGGGAGTACTCCTAATCTCAGCTTGTTACCAGTATAAAAGACATCTGTCCATAGAAGCAATCAATCAATCAAATTCCAAACTCTCCAGCTTGGTGAGAAGGTGACCACAGTTGGTATGATTATTTGCAAATGGAAGAAACACAAAATAACTGTCAATCTCCCTCGGTCTGGGGCTCCATGAAAAATCTCACCTCGTGGAGTTTCAATGATCATGAGAACGGTGAGGAATCAACCCAGAACTACACGGGAGGATCTTGTCAGTGATCTCAAGGCAGCTGGGACCATAGTCACCAAGAAAACAATTGGTAACACGCTATGCCGTGAAGGACTGAAATCCTGCAGCACTCGCAAGGTCCCCCTGCTCAGGAAAGCACATGTACAGGCTCGTCTGAAGTTTTCCAATGAACATCTGAATGATTCAGAGAACTGGGTGAAAGTGTTGTGGTCAGATGGGACCAAAATTGAGCTCTTTGGCATCAACTCCACTCACAGTGTTTGGAGGAGGAGAGATGCTGCCTATGACCCCAAGAACACCATCTCCACCATCAAACATGGAGGTGGAAACATTATGATTTGGGGATGTTTTTTTTCTAAAGGGACAGAACAACATCAAAGGGACGATGGATGGGGCCATGTACCGTCAAATCTTGGGTGAGAACCTCCTTCCCTCAGCCAGGGCATTGAAAATGGGTCATGGATGGATATTCCAGCATGACAATGACCTAAAACTCACGGCCAAGGCAACAAAGGAGTGGCTCAAGAAGAAGCACATTAAGATCCTGGAGTGGCCTAGCCAGTCTCCAGACCTTAATCCCACAGAAAATCTGTGGAGGGAGCTGAAGGTTCGAGCTGCCAAATGTCAGCCTTGAAACCTTAATGACTTGGAGAGGATTTGCAAAGAGAGTGGGTCAAAATCCCTCCTGAGATGTGTACAAGAAATGTCTGACCTCTGTGATTGCCAACAAGGATTTTGCCACCAAGTACTAAGTCATGTTTTGCGAAGGGATCAAATACTTATTTCACTCATTAAAATGCAAATCAATTTATAACTTTTTTGAAATGTGAGAACCTCCTTCTGGATTTGGTGTTATTCTGTCTCTCACTGTTAAAATAAACTATCATTAAAATTATAGACTGATCATTTCTTTGTCAGTGGGCCAACATACAAAATCAGCATTTTTTCCTCATTGTACTTGTAACCAGCATGCCATTTTAACACACATACTGTAGTAGTAATTGTTGGTTATTTTATGTATTATGTATTATGTGCTTATAACTAAGCATAGTACAAATACTGGAAAGGTTCTACTGTTGTGTACCTTTGCATAAAAATAAAAAACTTTTAGCTATAACTGTATGCTGTTTTACATATGTCTAGAACAAAGTTGTCTACAGTCTGATTCTATTTATTTGGCTTGTTTTTGAGCAATATAAATTAATTGTAGATCCTTAACATAAACTTAAAATTTATTCCACTATTTGTCAAATAAGCAAAACAAAACAACTAGCATTTGCACACAAAGGAAAAAGCAGACAAAATGCACCCATACTATACTTCGCCGACATGTTTATTTTTCCTTGCCTGCAATTCTCCACTATTTTTAAAAAGATTCTGAAAATACCTTTGGCACTTTGTGAAGGCCAGAGACATTAATGAAAATAACAGTGGCAATGGGAGTGGAAGTTTGATAGTCCCATATAATAATCAACCAGTTAGTTAAACTAATTATACTTAATTAATGAAAATATCAGGATGTGCAAGGAATCTGATGGGTGCAAAATATGCTGTGTGTAGTCATCATCTTAGAAATCCATGCCTTTGATATAACGCCAAAATATGAATTATTAATTATAATTATTCTACATTTACCACAGTAATTACATTCCAGGGATCCTCCACAAATAATAGACAATATGTTTTTAAAAACAAATAATATGTAAGTGGAAGTATGGACTTTCTTTGGAAAGATATAGCTTTGCATATAGTTTTTTGGATATAGTTCTTTGATGTTTGTGTGTGTGTGCATATGTATGTGTGTGTGTGTGTGTGTGTGTGTGTGTATACACACACACACACACACACAGTGCTTTTTTTTTCTAAAAAAAAAAAAGGTGCCGGAACTCACACACATCATACAACCCGCCTTGCCTACCCTACAAGGTTCCACCCAAAAAAGGTGCTGGAACTCCGTTCTGGGCATTCTATGACAAAAAAAGCCGTGTGTGTGTGTGTGTGTGTGTGTGTGTGTGTGTGCGTGTGTGTGTATTTGTGGCTGACAAAGAGTTAGTGCCACAAAAATTTTGAATTTACAATATTCACAGTATGTGACGTCTGCCTGCAAAACATGCTCCTAAATTGGAGCGAAACGCAGAACAAACTGATTTATCCTATACTTGGTAGACCGGGTGCTCCAGCCAACACACACACACACACACACACACACACACACACACACACACTTCTTTGGAAGATATATGTGTCTTTCAAAAACCTATGTTACATGTTTAATGTGTATAAAGATATGCAATACACAACAATTATAATAGGATCAAGATCAAATAATCAAAATCAAATAATCAGCATGCAAAGCAATGTCCTAGAATATTACCCCATTGTGTGGCAGGTATTAATAAGCATCCAGAATTGAATTTAAGGAAGTTTTTGTCACTATAACAAACTTCAGGTTTGAAAGGTTGATGAAAGAGAATAAAGATTACTTTATTTCCTCTTTTAAGAGCAAGTAAAGCAAAAAGGAGACTTCGTATGTTAAAAGTTAAAATTATATATTGTGGAAACTGAAGGCCATTTTAAGGGGAAGATATATTTTGCAAATTATTCATTCTGCAATTGAACTCAAAATCCTTATCTTTGTAGCTCCCTTATAGAAGTCAAGATAAACTTGTTAAAAAAATCTTATAACAGTTATGCTGTGACCTAGTCATTAGTAGATTTATAATAACATATTTTAATTTGTTTAGAATTCTCAGTGCAGACAGAATTTTGTGATGTTCATCAGGAATGGAAGCCCTCTTTTCTCAGCAATGAAGAATTCACTCAACTGATGTTGGAGGTGAAAATTGCAATTTTTACAAAACTTTGAATATGAATGATCCTCTAAAGAAGTTGTCTCCTCAAGATATATTGACTTGATTTCCCATCACTGGTGGCTTGTGAATTGATCAGCATGCCTGGAATATTTCCAGTTTTAGAATATTTAATTGAAAAAATCTGGTGGTATTCTATAAACTGGGTGTCATGCCATTAAAGAACTTCAAGGCAAGAATTCTTCCTTAAAGAACATTTTATTCAGGAAACAAAGTATCGGTACTACATAGTTGAACCCAAAACTAAATTCCCTTCCCCCAGATACAAAGTAACAAGTTGCAATTCCAACCCCCGTGAAGCAGTCATAAATCACATTCTCCAATTAACCTGAAGCACGGGCTCCCTCTCTAGCTCCTCAGCCCGCCAAAATGTTATCGGTTTGTGTCCTTGAGTTCCCACAAAGTTGTATTATTATTATCGCTAGCTGAGCTCAAGCATTCACCCCATTCCCCTTCTACACCTGATTTCTAAACAGCAGAAAAAGCAAGCTAAAAGCAGAGTAAAAATGGCTGAATTTCCCTCAGTTGTCAGAGCGGGAACATCCATTGTCATAGTGTTGACACTGGGTATTTTAGTTTGTAACTATAGTTCATGGTGGATTTTTGTAAGAGAAAAATAAGTAGAAAGCCATTATGTATGCATGCCAAGTAATTATAGAAAATGATTGCCAAGAACATAAAACAAAATATAAGCTACATGTAGTCCTTGGGTTACGATAGCAACTGGGAAGGGAATTACTGTCACAATTTAGTCATAATGTGCAATATTACTTGACTATATTGGCTATTTATAGGATACCTATATGTTATATAAATCTTTTGGTGCAAGTAGGAATAAATAAATGCTGTAAACCACTCAATTTTATCTTGAAGGTGTAGGCAGTTTATAATCCAGGTTTGGATATAAATTCTTAAAGTGTACAGGCTGCATATAGTTTGCATGTATTTTTGATCATTCCAAAAACTCTGGCCAAAACCTCTGCTTCTTCTAATCTCTGGAATTCACATATATAACTTCTATGTTCAGAGTGCTCTGCAACTTGTTTGCATTTCTCAATAGACAACACAAGCATCATTTTCCTATCTCCTTTTAGAGAATTAATATACTTTTTTCCCTATAGGCACTGGATGGGTTTGTTATAGCAGTCACCACTGATGGAAGCATCGTGTATGTTTCTGATAGCATCACACCTCTTCTTGGACACTTGCCAGTGAGTGGTTCAAATGTATCTTACTTACCCTGCACCAACACTCTTAAAGGGACTCTTTAAAAAAACATAAATACTGTTAAGTACTGTCATGAACTTTACTTTGACCAACTTAAGAAAAACTAGTAGATGAAATCTTGGACATCTGCAGGAATTTGCCTTTTATGTGTGTGTGTCATGATTTGTGTAAAAAGAGATGGAGCTTACAATGCCACAATTCTGATTAAATCTCTTTGCTGTTTTTTTGTGGTTATGTAGAATTTTGCAACGCAAATTTGGAAGCCCTTGAAAAGAGGCAACATTATGGAAGTGTTGTTAGAAAGGAATGTGAGAGTTGAGGGTATATACAAGATTTGGAAAAACTAAACATTCTATACTAGGAATAAAAAATGTGATATTGAGGCTGAGATCAGAAATTCTGGCAATTGAATTATGAAGGCACAGACTATTCCAAGTGGATGAGAAACTGGAAAACCTATATGATTATACAGGAAATTGAGAGATAAGACTTAAAAGAATATAACATGAAAAAAGGCAAGGATAAACACAGTAGAGTTCCCAGACTTGTTAGACTTGTCTCAGGTAAGATAAAGTCCAAAATGACAGAAAAATCCTGAGGCAACCTAACAAAAACAGAGTTTATTTGACTTTGATTCAATGCAGTGAAAAACAAAGACTTGTCAATGTGTTAAATAAGATATATCAATTATCTCTCTTTTGGCTGTACCTTCTCTCATTACTTTTCTATACAAGAAAAGTAAAAGTAAGAAGGAACTTACAGCCCAGAATAAGTAAGGAGATGCTACTTCAAGTTTCCAGGCACAGATGAATTATATACCAGAGTGATAATGGAGCTTTCTGGCATTGTTAAGGATTTTTGGAGAACAGGTGAGATGCGAGAAGATTGGATACAGGCAAATGTTCTTATTGTTCATTCAAGAATAAGAGATGGACTTGGAAGTCTGTCAGTATTAATAGATTCAGAACAGTTTCAGCACTCCTGAAACTTAGGGAGACAATCACCTTGATACTGAAATCAAATTATTCCTGTTTGGTTACTGCTTATGCCAGTACATAGGATAAAATAATAGGCATACAAGCAGATTTAATGTAAACATTAAAATTTTAATACTTTCAAAAGGATTGCAAAGAATGGGGGTGCCTATTTTTCTATCTTTGTTTTAATACAGTTTTGTCATTTTACAGTCTGAAGTCATGGATCAAAATTTGTTAAAATTCCTCCCAGAACAAGAACATTCAGATATTTATAAAATATTATCATCTCATATGCTTCTAATGGATACTGTTTCATCGGATTATCTAAAATGTGAGTGATTTAAAAAAGTTTGTAAATAACTTTCTAAGTTGGCTTAAGATATTGTGATCAGTGAAAAATTAAATAGGACAATAAATACTTTTAACCATTTAAAAGTACCATTTTAAAATTTCAAATTAAAGATATCTGTAGGAAACATTCATCTGTACAATTTAAAACTATTATTATATCTTAACATGAAATTGATTTCAAATACATTAATTGTAGTCTTAGTGAAGAAAAATTCTTAATGTCATCACAAATTAGACATGTTCATATGACTAAAATATTTTATGATTACATATTGAATTCCTTTAATAGGACTGTTTTCATAAAGTCTCAAAATATATGTTTCTTTAGTACAAATGATTTTTGAAACATGATATTATAAGAAAAAGATTATATGGGAAATAGATAAAGGTTTCACAATAAGAAGTTTAGATTTTAAAATTTATCTTTTTTATTTGTGAAAATGAGACATAGTAAAGAAAAGGGAAATGCCTTTTACATTCCATTGCTTTTCATTATCTTTAAGTCTGTGATTTATTTCATAGAATGGTACTGAATAATGGGATGTTAATCTAAATCCGTGATTTAAGTATGCATGAGAAATATCTATTTATAGTTCTGAACAACCTAGATTCATGCAAAGCTTCATTAAAACTTTGAAATATGAATCTTGTGCATCACTGAATTCACTGGGGATTTTCCTTTTGTGTAATTGTATAACTGTCAAGAAACTGTGTAATTAACAAATAATAATTATTTTACTAATGCCTTGTAGTATTTTATTTAAATTTTAGGTAATGAGGATTTAGAATTTTACTGCCATCTTCTACGAGGAAGTCTGAACCCAAAGGATTTTCCAACATATGAATACATAAAATTTGTAGGGAATTTTCTATCTTACAATCATGGTAAGAACGTTTCAGTTTTATAGGAAGAAATTATGACCACATTTACATGGTGAAATACAATTCTAAAAAGAACTATTTAAAATGTTTAAAAATACTTAAAAGGTATTTAAAAAAGAAGGGTTGCTGACATTCAACACTTGGATTAAGAAGAATATTTTCTAAAATGCAATTAGCACTTCATAGTTCAGATTGAAATTCCTAACATTTTGCTTAAGAAGCAAAAAAATATTGAGCTTTATAGGAATTAATTCAAAATGCATATGGTTATGACTGGAACTCAAACTGCAGATCAAAACAGATAGTCCATTGGCCACATGATTTTCTTTAATCAAAGAGTGTTTTCTACATACTGTCCACATCTTGTTCCTCCAGGACATGTTTCTTTCATCTGCTTCAGACATCTAGCATTCTTTTAGCCATAATATTTTAAATGCAGGAAAAATGAGCAACTCCTCTGAATAACACATTAATTCATCTTATTTGGGGGAACACTTTTGTTGTGTTCAGTTTTTTAATCTGTCATATTTGTACAATTTAATTAGCAGCTCAGTAAAAATTCTGATCTAGAATGCACAGTTAACCATTTTAAAATTACTAGCTAACTCTCTATAAGAAATATTTATCTTTTCCCATTTTATGAGAAAAGTAAATTTCTCCATGCTACATCGTTTCTCCTTTGTTTACATCAATGATACAGTATATTGCCCAATAAACATACAGTAACTGGAAAACCCCAAGTAAGAGGACTGCAAATATAATACTTCTTGTTAAATTGCCTTCATGGTAATTATTGTTTATTTTCCATTCATTTTTTTATTAAAAATGCTCCAAAGGTATAGTATTGACAGCACCTACCTGATTCCAAATAGCCAAGTTCGATAGAAGTGGTCAGTACTAGGACTGGAGCTCATTAAGAAATATCAGGGCTGTAGGCAAGATTGGGAAGTTAAAGAAACATCCCAGAATAAGGCAAACCTTTCTATACTGAGAAAACATGATATACATATCAGTATACTGAATATCAGAAATCAAGTTCAGCTTGAGAGAAATTTTATCTTTAAGATGTTAGAATTATCAACATACTTGGAACCAGCAGGATGGTTTCCTAGCTTTTCCTCCACTTTATTTATTTATTGACATTTTTATTAATTTTTGTTATTGTTTACACAAAAATGGTGATCTTTATCTAATTAAGTTGTATTGGTATTAATTGGTAAAATAGTGATTTATTAATTTTAAATTGGTAAGAGAGTGGCTTACTCATTTTAAAAGCTCAGCTTGGACATTTCAAAAGATCTTGGACAAGAACCATGATGAGGTTGTTGTTCAAGTGTGCACTGATGAGAATATAGATTTCCTGTTTATGACTAATTACTCATCATGATAGAAGTCTATAAATATGTCCTTCCTAGAGAACATATTAAAAAGCAAGGCATTTTTGAGTCACATATCTCCTGAAACATTCCAGTTAGTCCTCAAAAACTTAAAGTGTGTTGCAAGATGAAATAGAACTTTTATCATTGGTAAGTTGGTGAATGTTGAACTTTATGGATTACATATGAAACAAATGATAACTCCCAACCAACCCCCCCAAGATAAAACAAAAACTTTAGAAATGACCAAAACAGAGCCATCTCACAGTGTTTTGGAATAGCAAGTTAGCCCCTTCCCAATTACAGTACTATTCTGATTCAATTGACTTATTTTCACATCCGAACCTCATCTTTCCTGTCCACATTAGAAAACATGGGGCATTTACTACCGTACCACATGGCCTACATTTCTTATACATATTTATATGTACATATATGCAGCCAGAAAAGTACATTCAGATATAATGCTGTGGGATTTCCATATTAGTAAATTTCATGTGCATAAAAGGCATAACTCTTTGCCTTCTAATTTTCTTATCTAGTGCCTCTATCTGACTGTCACAGCTCTAAAGATGCTGTTCCTAGGGGTTACAGAAGACCACAAGGAAAACAAATCTGCTTTGTTGCTACTGTTCGGCTGGCCACCCCTCAGTTTTTAAAGGCAAGTTTGTCTGTCTTAGAATCTTACTAACAATAGTGATCCTACCGATGTCTAGGATTGTGCATGCCTTGCAAATGATTGAGAAGAAATACTCCAGAGAATTTGAGAATGAGCTCAGTACTTCTTCCTTTCATTAAAGCAGCCTGAAAGATGTGGCAACACTTTGAAAGTTATATTAATGTTATTGGCTAGGAATTCTGGAAGTTGTAGTACCAGCCTCCCTACAGAAAACCAAACCAGGAAGGCTGATATATATGCTCCTGAATGGAAATAAGTATAAATATGGAAAGCATTAAAAATAAATCAAGTTATTAACTGCAGATAACATTCCCAATCAAATTGTGAACATTGGATTTTTATCTTGGAGACTGGTTTCTTCTTACATATGTCACATTAATCAATTACGTCTTTTGTCCAATATTTTTTGCATGCATAGGCAAAATCAGAAATTAGTTTTGACTATGGTTAAGTCTGCAAAAAAATATTTTTAGTTTTTTTTAATGTTTTACATTATTTAGGCTGAAGCACAGGATCTAATTATTAAGGGATAAGACTCCTATTGGAGAATAATCTTTATTTGATCATAATGTATAGTAAGACTTTTTTCATGCATTCAGTCAACTCTTTTAATTTTACCTGAGTTAAATTGTATAGCATAAAGGAAAAGGGATTGCAGCAGCATTTATCTTCTGCAGTGCCTGTTAGCTTGTTGGGATGTAAGTGCTTCAGTTAAGCATATCTGACATGCTTTAAACAACATGCAAACCTAGAATACCTTCCGCTTCACAATTTTTTGTTCTTTTGTTCCTCTCTTGCGTCTTCTTGAGTCTTTATTGCCAGCAATATCTAACATATAACAATGACCCATAACACTTAGTCTTTTTTTCTAAAATAATAAAGTATTATAATAATCTCCCAAAATACATATATTTTTCATCAATTAAAACTAATAAACCAGATAGAGTAATGAGAATTTTTTTAAATATATAGTTGTTGTTTTTTAGCCTTTTATTTTCATTCTTTCATGTGCTTTAAGGAATGGATGAAATGGGGGGGGGGAAGGCACAACTGCAACTTAACAGAATTTAATTCTAATATAGGAAATGTGCATAGTTGAAGAATCTTTAGAGGAATTCACTTCAAGACATAGTTTGGAATGGAAATTTTTATTTCTGGATCACAGGTTAGTAAAAACAATGCCCGCCCTCTGATTATTGCTGTTGACATAAATTAAGTTTTATAAAATAGTGCTTTGTTTGTTCTATAAATAATTGTAAATAATTGTGCAATGGCATACATTATTAAAATTATCACTAAATCAAACATTTGTTAGTCAACAATTAATTTTTATAAGTTTTGGAAATATATAATGTATATTGTATGAGCTATTTGTATGTGTTGGTATAAAGTAGAATATATATATTATAAGAAAATAGAAATAAACCGATGTAGTTGCATTGGACTTTTAGGCAGAGAATATGCAGTATATAGATATATACTGTATTCCTAAAGTTCATGCAAAAACTAGAATCAAGAAAAATTTAAAAACAATATAATGCTGTATTCATAAGGGCATATTTTCTTAAATAAACAAAGAAATCCCATTGAATTGAATTTTCCAAGGTAACGTAATTATGGAGCTGTTGCATCAGATAAAGTAAATGTTAGATATTTTAGTCATCCCTCACCCTTCCTTTGTTAGAATTTTAAAATAAACTCATACTGTAGATATTCAGTGTTTCTTCAGTGTACATAGTGGATATGTAGCCAACAATGTTCTTTCTGTGAAGTAGAAATAGGTAATTTCTTTAAATTCAGAATGTCTATGGAGATTCTCACTCATCCAGGTCATGGTTGTACCAAAGGTGCTTTTTCAAGAGGCAAGTGGACTTTCTTGTTTTTCTTTGAAGATGTTTTGCTTCTCATCCAAGAAGCTTCTTCAGCTCTTCAACAGAAGCTTCTTGGATGAGAAGCAAAAAATCTTCAAAGAAAAACAAGAAAGCCCAGTGGCCTCTTGAGAAAGTACCTTTGTGACATTTAAATTCAGAAAGTGCGTTTAAAAAGGGGACAAAGCTGAAATGTTCCTTATTCCCTTTCCATTTCTCTTATTTTGGTAGGGTGGATTTGTAGGACAGTTTTAAGTCTAGATAAACTTAAAGCCATTTTTAAATATAATTGTGTTTTTAAAAATAAAACATAATCCAAATACCAAATTATCAGTAAATTGACTGATAAACTTTGGTTATCCAATTCTGGGTGATCCTTTAGCCATAAAAAGGGGACCACAGGTGCCTTAGGACAGGGCTTTTCAACCAGTGGTACGGGTACCACCTGTGGTACATTGGCACCTGGCAGGTGGTACGTGACCATCCTAGAAAAGTGGTAGCGGGGGGGGAATGAGCTGAACTGGTGGCAGCACCGCACAAGCCTGAGCAAGAGATGGCTAGAGCTGCAGGGCTCAGCGGAAGCGACAGGATCAGCGCCAGGCTCCAGCTGGAGCTCGGCGCTGATCCTGGTGCTTCTGCTGAGCCCTGAAGAAGCACCAGTCAGCTGGAATGTTGCAGCCTCTCCAGGGTCTTGTGATTTACATTCAGATGTTTGGCAACTGATTCATATTTATGACAGTCACAGTGTCCCAGGGTCATGTGAAGTGACCAAAACCTGTTGCAACCACCCATCAGACGGGGGAATAAAAACCAAACATCCCCCACCCCACCCCCACTGCCAATCCTCAACAGAAATACTCACAACAATGAAAACCTCAGACAAGAGGAAGAGCGCGGCCAAGCAGGCAGGCAGGTATCTTGCTTGGCTGTAGCTTGGAGGGCACTTTTTTCAGTGCCATTGTAACTTCAAACAGTCACTGAGTGAACTGTTGTAAGTCAAGGACCACCTGTACTTTAACACTCCCCCCCCTTTTTGTCATCAAGTTTTTGACACCTTGCTAGGTGACTGGTGGTACTTGGATGCTGCCATATCCTAAAAGTGGTACAATGGGTGAAAAGGTTGAAAAGCCCTGCTTAGGAGAAACAAAGGACCAAATATTTGCCACTTAAGCTTACTCACATAAGTAGCCTATCTTTAAATTTGGGCACCCTCCAGAATTTTATTCTTTTATATATTTTGAACATTTACAAGGTTGCCAACTGGGTAGTCAGAAAATGATGGAAAAGATTTGCAAGAGGAAGGTTGTAAAGATTATAAAAAATCAGCTCCCACTTTAACTCTGATTAACTTTCAGTTTTGACCCAGCTAGATAAATACTGCATAGTCTTAATAATGGAACCATTATTACTGTATATGTATCCTGTTTCTAATGTGTTATGTCTATCCTTTAGAACAGAGGTCCTAACCCCTGGTCCATGGACTGGTACTGGGCTGCGGCATGCCAGCAACCAGTCTGCACAAACAAGCAAAGCCCCATCCGTGGGATGCAGGCAGCACACAAAATCACGCACTCTCCGGTCCTTGGGAAAATCTTTCTCCATGGAACCGGTCCCTGGTGACCAAAAGGTTGGGGACCTCTGCTTTAGAACATGGGACTCTAAAAATTCTATATGAGATTGTTACCTACACTCTTAATGTTGGTTGTTAAATCAATAACCACAACAAAAAAACCTATCACACATCTCCTTGTCTTAGAATTTGTGATATCAAATTATATAGACAGGATATATGATTTTTTTCCATTATCCTTAATTAGAAAAGATCTTCCTTTAAAAGACTGTAAGACATGGCTACCAGGTTCTAGCAGTACTTTCCCCAATCTATTACAGCAGTGTTGCCTAAAATTATTTACATTATTTTTTATCATTATATTTTTCTTTTTTAAATTCAACCTGGAATTTGGTCTTTTTTGTTTGAGACCAGTCTTGTAGTTTGTATTGCTCCCAGTCACCAATTAATTAACTTTTTCCTCTGCTTTTGCTTTTAATTCCTCTGCTTTGTTTCCATATTCCAATACTTAAAAATGATTTGGTAAGATTTGTGCAAGGTATTTGTATATATTCCTCCTGTCTTCTGGTAGTATATAACAGTAACATACCTGTCCCTTTGTGTTAGTTGTGCTTCTGTATGTTGGAATTTTCTTTGTTGCATCACAGAACTCAACTGCTGTTCTTGATATTTGTAATACTCAAACAAAATTATTTATCTTAATATAGAGCCCCACCAATTATAGGATATTTGCCTTTTGAAGTGCTGGGAACTTCTGGCTATGATTACTATCATATAGATGACCTACAGCTCTTGGCACAATGCCATGAACACTGTGAGTATTGCTTTCCTACGGACATGAGAATCCAATGAGACAGCTGTTGCCTTGTCTGTATTGTATTAAAAGTGTAAACCAAGTGGTTGGCTGATAACATTGTAAACCTGTAATCTATTCAAAATTATGCAGATATTAAATATTTGTAATTTAGAATTTAGGAGGTATTGTTGAAAACCTAGTTATGATATTTAAGATAAGTGATTGAAATAATGTGAGTTAATTTTGGCTGCACTTTATTCTTCGTTTCTTTTGTTAAATTTCAAAAGTGCTAGGCGTAAAATAGTACAGATATAGCATTCAGCAATTATTATTATTTTTATAGGTGTTATTAATTTTTTAAAATTACAGTCTTTAGAGTTTAGTAAACAACATGTTGTCTTGGTTCACATATTTAACATTAACTTCTTCAATATGAATCTACTCAGTACTGCACAATCCAATATTTTTTCCTTGATCTTCCTTTCTTCCCCATATTTTTTCTCTTTTCCCCTCATTAAATAATTACAATTCTTAGTACTATTGATGTATACAAAATTAGATATAGACATCTTCAACATATTTTACTAATATTATAGAAATAACAATAATATCAATTCATGTCAATATCCTGCTTTTCATGCTCTTATTAAACTTTGATTTCCCATCAATATTTAAATTATCTTTGTCAGTTATGATTTTCTCAATATTAATTACATTTATATAGCTAAAATAATTATTCATACCAATTCTCCTATTTTCAAATTTTCCATATTAAAAAAAATGCTATTTTAATTCTAAATCATATCTTCCATTATAAAAATCTAGTTATATCAAAGGGTCATCCGTTCTTTTAATCATATTCAAATAGGTATATTAAACAGATAATGCCCCCCCTGATAGATCAAATCCTATGTTTTTTAAATCTAACTCTCACTTTCTTTCTTTGCCAAGCATCTTTCCAGGCCAAGGCAATTAAATCGTCCAAGAATTTTCTTTCTGTTTTTGTGAAAGCTGCTTGGCATGAGAAAGACAATTTAGGTAGAGTATTTTTGGGGACGAACTCCACCCATCCACATTCCCTAGACATTTCTCCTGCCCGCTTTATGTTCCATTTTCTAGAATCTTCTTCCTTGTCATCAGGTGTATTTTGGAGAAAGGAGTAAAGGGTCTTTTGTATTTTCATTGTTATAGGTAGGTCTTGAGTATTTTATTTGTGTATAGCAGCCCATATTTCCCTTCTTCTATTTCCTTCAACTCTAGATCCATTTCTTCTGCTTCACTCTCTGATTTCTGGTTTATTTGTTCATACTTTGTAGTCGTTGTCTGGGAGTTTTCCAGTTGTAGCTTCAATTTGGAGATTTGGTCCTTTATATCATCTAGGTTATTTTTAGTCTCATTATGGTTTCTTTTTATGTCCTCTTTGTGTGCAAGAATTGTTTGATGAATTTGCTATAGCATAGAGAGTATTTCCTTCTGAAAGGTATTTATTTTTTCTTGAAATTCCTAGAAATCCTCTAGTATCATCAGTCTTAGTAACAGTGGAACAAAATTTCCTCTAATTTTCTGGTCTTTATATATAGCCTTTATAATCCAGTCCCAATAGCAATATTTTATAGTAATCCTTTGTCTCAAGTATCCTGAAAATTATCAGTCAGGCAAGGTTGTAATCCACCATGTTCCCAGTGTTCAAAATGTTCAACCTCCCTGCAGCCAGACTTATTCAAAAGAGGAAAGGGAGAGGTTTCCAAGCTGAGCCATGCTGCCTCAGGAATTCTGGGAGTTGAAGTCCATGAGTCATAAAGCGTCCTAGGCCTAGGCTAGAGGTAGGCAACCTTGGCTCTTTTATGACTCGTGGTCTTCAACTCCCAGAATTCCTGAGCCAGCCACACTGAGGGGAAAGGGAGAGGTTTCCAAGCTAAGCCATGCTGGCTCAGGAATTCTGGGAGTTGAAGTCATGAGTCATAAAAGAGCCAAGGTTGCCTACCCCTGGTCTATACTATTTATCTGTGCAAAATTCAGTTTAAAACCTTTTAATTTGACAGGTCAGATTTGTGTTTCATTCTCCTGTTTTAGAAAGGAAACTCAGGGCCCAATTCCTTCTCATTTAATAAATCATAGACATTAGTATGCAAGCAGATTTTCTTTTACTACTGCCACAATATCAAATTTTACTTACATTCTCAAATCAAAAGGAAATATAAAAAAATAGTACAATAATAACAAACAATAAAATTATAATATAGCAAAAAAACTCAGCTATCCTCAACAAGTACAATTGAACAAAGTGTTTACAAGTTTTGCACACTAATAATGCAATTTAATTATAGTATACGTTATGTACAATGGTGGGATTCATATATGTGAACAACCGGTTCACTATGTGGATGCCGCTTCCATTCTGGGCCTGGGCAACAAAAAATTAGCTACCGGTTCTGCCGAAGTGGTACAAATTGGTTGAATACTACCACTGATTATGTAGGATTTTTATTCCATAGGGACTTGTGCTGGAGATAGAAATGCATAAGCACATCATACTTAAAATGTTCCTTTTCAGCTTGATAATCCATATAATATTTTCCAATGTATTCCCTAAGGATACAAGAATTCTTGTATCCTTAGGGAATCCTTAGGGAAATTTGAGAGTGCTGGGAAATTTATAAATATCCCAAAATACTTTTTAACTGACTGATTTGTAATATTTTTGCATTTTTTTTCTATCCACAAATAGTGATGCAATTTGGCAAAGGGAAATCTTGCTGCTATCGATTTTTGACCAAAGGACAGCAATGGATCTGGCTACAAACGCATTACTATATCACCTACCATCAGTGGAACTCCAAACCAGAATTCATTGTGTGCACTCATACAGTAGTGAGGTATGGAAAATCAATTAACATGCTGTCAGGAGAGACCTTGATGTACCAAAAGAATGTGAAGATCTAGCTTGAGGGTACTCAATATACAATAATGGCTGATTCTCTCTAGATGATATGGAAAACTGCAGTAAATAGTTTGAGTTTTCAAGAATTGTAAATAAACTTAATAATTAACTTTAATGTTATTCATCATAATATTTTATGTTACTTTATTTAACAATTTTAAAATAAATTGTATTTAATAAGATACTTGACCTCTCTATGATAGTGGTTGTAATGAAAGAGTTAAAAGTAATATAATGACTACTTCTTAAATCTGTGAAATATTTTAAAAGGTTCTGAGAGTAGGCAGAGAAATGATGATTAGGAATGTAATAAATTGTATCTTTTCGGTGTCCTGGGAAGATAGCTAGATTAAGATAATCTTGATGATTGCACTGAGTGTGGTGTGACATTGGAAATAACACCTGGGTTGGCTCAAAATAAGGTATAAAAACAGGAATTCTAATATTTATTATGAACTGATGATAATGACTTGTTAATTGGATTCCAAAGAAAATATCAAAGTTAAATCCAAACACTGCCTGTTTGGAAAATAGAGTAACTTGGTAGGTTATATAATACATTTAGGAGCAGTATACTGTAGAAATATGGCCATGCAGAAAGCAACCCATGTCATCATATTTTATGTATTAGTTATATGCACTTATGAAACTCGTACTTATGGATCTAAAGAACTAGTAAGGGACTCCAAATCTATGTTCTTTGTCTGAAACATAGTCCTATGAAGATATATGCTATGATTAGAGACACTATTTTCTTTTTATTTTGCATATGGATAAACTTATTATAGATATAAAATGTAATCCATTATACATGTTTGAATTAGATAAACTTCATGTTTTAATTGAATAATACATTCAGGTTTCATGTAATAAATAATTAATTACATTTATTAGAGCTTGAAAATGATAGAACGAATATAATTCTCCATGGAAAATTATAATGTTCAATCAGTTATGCAGATGTTCGAGTGGAAAGGCAACAAAATCTGATTTTAGAAGATGCACCTATAGATATCATCTCTTCAGTATTAAAGGTATACTGAATGCCTACATTTAATATTTCCATTTTTTTGCATCAGCAGTTATAAAACATTTGGATTGAATTAATATGACTTTATGCTCATACACATACACACACAGAGACAAAATTTTTCTCAAATGTTTTGGCCCAAATGGTTTTGATTTTAACTTTCAAATTTCAGGTAGTTTTTGTACTATATTGTATTATATTGAGTAGTGCGATGGCTCAGCAATTAAGATGCTCAGCTGGTTGGCTGGAAAGAGTTTGCATGATAGGATGAGCGCCCGTTTTCGCGTAGCTCTTGCCCACCTAGCCATCTGAAAGCATGCAAATGTGAGTAGATAAATAGGTATCACTTTGATGGAGAAGAAACAGCGCTCTGCAATGTCATGCTGGCCACATGACTGTGGAAACGTCTTCTGACAGCACTGGCTCATGACCTCCAAAAGAAAATGAGTGCTGCTCCCTATACTTGACAATGACTAGCGGTGTTAAATCCGCAGGGATTCACTTCCTTTCTTGTATTACATTAGAGAAAAAGCAGAGTGATAAATGAAGTTATGTTTTGACTGTAGCCAGAATACCACATAATTTAGTTAATGTACAGGTGGGGGTACTGATGTGGAAGACAGTGGGAAGGAAGTGGAGAAAAAGGTTAGTGAGTGTGACAAGATCCTAACTCTAACCCTAACTAAGATTTGGGCAGGAAATGCTTTAAATCAAAGAGACCCTGCCTCAACTGAAATTAAGTTTTCAAAATGATATTTTTATTCCTGAAAAGTGCTAAAAATGTTTTTGTGAATTTCATGTGGTTCTTTCATCTTGAATTTGCCAACCACCTGAGGTTTGACTACTGTAACTTGCAGTGTCCTATCTATAGTTTGAAACATGCCTGTTGAATCTTTTCATTTTGAAGAAGCATGTTGCAATGCTTGAAATGTAAAGAGAGGATAGATTCTGGGTCACTCTTGTTTGTGTTCACGGGATATCTGGAACTCCATATGCACTTTTGAAAGGCTACAGACAAGTGTTGTTCAAAAGAGTGTGTGGCTAACATCAAAAGTACTTTTTTCCCTTGTACACTCTTTCAAGGTTTTTCTGTCTACATTTGTACTTAGCATAATAAATATTTTTGCTTTATTTTCAAGGACAATGTCCCAGATTTGAATTCTCAGCAGCATTTTAAATCACTTGAATTAGACACAGCGGTTCTCAACACCAGCCAGATATTTTCTATGTCTTCTCATGGTTTACACAAATCTTTGCCTTCATCCTTGCCTGAAATGGCAAGTAAGTTATGGTTTTTCTCAAAATACTAATTTGGAGTGAAGAACTGAAATGTATTATTTGACCCAGTGTAGGAAAAATTATAAATATTTTATAATTTGTAGAAAAGAAAATTGAAAGATTAAACTAATATAATTTTACTATCATAAAGATAGCAAGAATAGAAGGGAGTATATACTTTCACAAGAAAATTAAAAGAATGCAAGAGTTAAAATTCCAGATATGAGGATTCACAAACAGGGCTCAAAATACTTGCAGAGATTAGGCTGCTACTTGATATAAATATTACTAAAATGTCACATAATATTCTCCAGTTATACATTCCCAGTTATCAGTTTCCTGGTTTGTTCCAAAAGAGGCAAATAAATTAGAAATTGAGTTGAATATTTAATATTTTCTTTCATAGCAGTGAATAAGATTGTTGTTGGTGCTCTTCTCTTACGTTCATAGAGCACTGTGAACAATATAAGTTGGAAAATATCTGCAAAGATATTATTGCAGTTGGGTATCATGAGGATTTTCTTTTATTATTATTTTATATATCATTGACTATCACTGACCATCATAGTGTCACTTGGTCCTTATGATTAGATTGCCTGTGTACCGCCTATATCCAGCTACACTGTTTCCATAAAGCCATCTAGTAAGTTTACCAAGTGAGTGATGGTTGAAGTGAGGTTTGAACCAAGTCAACAGTGCAGATTGAAATGCTTGGATGAACAGTATCCCTTAGAATGTTGCTTCAATAAATGCTGACCTATTTTCATTATAAAGCTATGATAACATATTGGTAGAAAAATGAATAGTCATACTACGTGAAACATTTGGTTCAAATATTTTAAATTGTAACATTATTACAAAAGTTTACACTACAGTTTTTAAAAAATAATTTTATCATATCCTGAACTCCCTCCAAAAGAAAGCTAAATGAAAAGACCCCAAACACATGAGAGAATATTTTATTCCATTGTAAAAATTTTATAAATTATTTTATAACATTTTATATATAATGTTATCTTACGCCGAACCTCCTCCAAAAGAAAGCTTATGTCAAGGTTTTGACTGATGGAACCAAATAAATCAGAACTCCGAGGCACTAAATGAAAAGACTCCAAACACATGAGAAGATATTCTATTCTATTCCATTCCACTCCATTCCATTCCATTCTATGAAAAGATGACAATAAACACCCAATTCCTACCTGTGATATTATTACAAATAGTCCTTGACTTACAACAGTTCACTTAGTGACCTTCAAAGTTACAATGGCACTGAAAAAAGTGACATTGTTGTTTTTTTCACACTTCTGATCATTACATCTTCATGATCATGTGACCAAAATTCAGATGCTTAGCAACTGACTCATATTTATTATGGTCACAGTGTTATTTTAAAAAGGCCATGTAAGTTGCCAGACCATTAAAGTAATAGGTATGCGAATATGCACATTGGAGACAAAGATTTTAAAAGTGGCCCTATCTGTTAAATTCAGGCCTTGAGGTGAGATGGATGGCAAATAAATCTAATAAATAATAAATGTATAAATAAATAAATAATGAATATTGGCCATGTAAGTTATCCAGTCACTTGCTTGATTTGCACAGCTATAGAAATTGAATGAATTAATGAAGTTATAGCAAGAGCAATAACACTTAGACTTATATACCACTCCTTGAGTGGTTTACAAATGTCAGCATACTGACCCCAACAATCTGGGTTCTCATTTTATCGACCTCAGATGGATGGAAGGTTGAGTCAACTTGAACTGGTCAGGATTGAACTCCTGGTTGTGAGCAGAGTTAGCTTGCAATACTGTATTCAAACCACTGTGCCACCATGGCACATGTTCAATTATGTTCAGTTTGGTTGTGAATATGTGAGTCTTCTCACCCAACAGTGAACAAGAAGAAATTAAGCCATCCATGGCAGTTCTCATTAAATATATATATATATATATATATATATATATATATATATATATATATATATATATATATATATATATAATTGAAAATTTTTGAATTTTACAAAACAAATCCCTTCCCCAAACCCCCCACCCTCCCATACCCTCCCCCCTCTCCCCAAACCTCCCATACCCTCCCTCAACCTTCCCAGAGCTGAGTACAGGTTTAATTAAAATTTTTCAAAAGAAATAAGAAATAAAAAAACTTAAAACACATATAAATCCTAAACAAATCTAAATACCTTAAATTCAAACACATATTATAATATACTCTAAACCTTTTCTAATATTGTACTTATATTATTATCCATCATTCTATAAAGAATCGCCAAAACACAAATTTAAACATTACTTTCTTTAAATATCTATACATACAATATAAAATCTAATCTAATCTCCCTCTTTCTTTACTCTAGAACACAAAAATAAGCATATAAACATTCATTATACCATTAAGACTGGATACTCATTTAATTAGTTAAACTAAATACTTATATTTAAACTTCTTATCTAAAATTTAATTAAACAAATTAACTTCTCTTAAAAATAATAATAATAATAGAAAAAAAGAAAAGAAACCAATCTTTAAACAAACTATAGTATACTCTAGAACCTTTTCATATCATTTATATTATTATCCATCATTTTATAATATACTCTAAGCCTTTTCATATGATACTTATATTATTATCCCAAAACACATATTTAAACATTACTTAAGACATTAAAATTCCCTTATACCTGTTTAAATCTTTATCAATAACAAATTCCTCCACAGTAAACACATTCCTTCTCTTATCCATACACCTCTTAAAGGTATTTCCATTCTAAAATTTTCATTCAGTCTCCATAATCTTCTGTCCAATAGCCAGTTGCATCCACTATAAACACAATCCTTATCAGTCTCTCTTGTCCATAAACATCGAAAAAAATGCATTAAAATCTGCCCTTGAAGGTCGCTCCAAAAAATTTGTGAGTCCTGGTTCTCCCACAAACTCAGGAACCAATACCTGTGAAGCTTCCTCAACCTCCTTCTTCTGTTGGTCTTTCTCTTTACGTTTATATGTTACTTTTTCTTTACGTTTATATGTTGCACAAGTTGTCCTCTGGTCTTTCATCTTGACTTGTTGAGGCCCCTCAAACTGAAATTTCCCATTTTTAATTAATATAAGCTCTTCAGACTGCAATTCTGCCCTTAAAGGTTGCTCCAAAGAGTTTATAAATCCTATTTCTCCCGCAAATTCAGAAGCCAATACTTGTGGAACCTCCTTGAACTTCTTCTGTTGATCATTTTCTTTACAATTATATGTTGCACAGGTTATCTTCTGCTCCTCCATCTCTACTTGTTGAGGCCTCCCATTTTTAATTAATATAGGCTTTTCAGACTGCAGTTCTGGCCTTAAAGGTTGCTCCAAAGAATTTATAAATCCTACTTCTCCCGCAGGTTCAGGAACCAATACTTGTGGAACTTCCTTAAACTTCTTCTGTTGATCCTTTTCTTTACAATTATATGTTGCACAGGTTGTCTTCTGCTCCTCCATCTCTACTTGTTGAGGCCCCTCAAACTGAAGTTTCCCAATTTTCATAATTCTAAGCACTTCAGACTGCAGTTCTGCCTTTTTTTCTTCCAAAGCTTTAAACATAATAGGTGATGATGAGCATACCCCCAGGACCGAAGTATAAAAATCTTTTGCTTTAGAAACAGTATTAAGACTATAACGTATCCCCAGGTAGCTCACCACCATTCCAGTCGGAACATCCCATCTAAATAAAATTTGTCTCTTTTTAAGTTCGTCTGCTAAAAAAGCAAACTCCTTTCTTCTTCTTAAAATTTTTGGTGGGATCTCCTTTAAAATTATAACATCTTGTGAAGCAATTTGAAACCTCTTCTTATAAAAAGCTTGTATAATTTCATTGCGCAGGGATCTTTTCCCAAAGTAAATTACCACATCTCTTGGCAAATTCTTTTGCTCTGCCACCACAGAGTTAACTCTAAATTCTGATCAATTCCACTAAGTATTTCCTCTTCTTCTCTATTCAGAATCACAGCAAAGTCCTTTGCTACCATCTCTCTCAAATCTCCTTGCACAGACTCATGTAAACCTCTGATTCTTAAGGCATATTCCATTTGTTTATATTGAAGTATAAGAATCTCATCTTGAAAATTTTTCATCTCTTTTTCCATACTTTCAAATTTTTCCTCCATCAATTCCAATTTTTCTTCTACCTCTTCTACGCGAGAATTCAACTTTTCAAGAACAGAGGCAACTCCTTTTAAAGTCAAAACTATGTCTTGCCTCAAAGTCTTATTATTTTCCTCTAAAATCTCTTTCATTTCTCCCCTAATTTGAAGTATAACATCTCCCATCATATCTTGCAAGTCCTTCACTATTGTTGACTGTGGCAAGGAAGAAGGTGAAGCTATTAATTTAGGTTGTTGCCCTGATGATAACACCGAAGAAGAAGCCACCTTGGAAGCTGTAGAGATTACTGAACGCTTTGGAGCCATCTTAAAAAAACTTTACTCCTTCTTAAAAATTGCAAGAATTAAGCAAAAAAAAAAAAAAGAAATTAACTCCATAAATTCAAAAAAAAAAATCCTTCAAGAGGGGATCATTATAATAAAAAGAAAGGAGTTCAAAAAAAGAAAAAGGAGAAGAAAAAAAAATAATTAGATAGAAAAAATCCGTTCCATTTTTTAAACGTGCCAAAAAGTACAAAAAACAAAACACGAAAATTAAACAAAAATAATAATACTAACACTCCATTCCAATCATAAAAAAAAAACAAAAAAGAAAAAAGGAAAGGGAAAAAAAGAGACACCAAAAGGCCTGCCGGTCAGCATTCTAGCTTCCGAAAAAAAAAAAAAACACCGAGAGGCATGCCGATCGCCATTTTACTTTCCCTTTCAACAAAGGGAAAAAAATAAAAGGAGTATAAAAGTAAAAACAAGTCTTGAAACTTAAAATCCAAATAAATCAAAGAAAGCAAAAACTAAATCCTCTACTCAGCTCTGTCCGTTTATAAAAAAACTCACCAGTTCGCTTTAATCACGGAGGTGGTTGCAGCGGCTCGTTTTGTCCCTAAGGACAAAAGCAGCTGGGAAGCGGAGACAGTCTGAACTCCGTGGGAGCACTCTTTTCACCCCCCAAAAAAAACTTGGGGGGTGAATAAGAGGCTCTACCACTATTCAGATAACTCTCTACCCCCCCTTTGCCCGGGAGGGGGTTTTGAACCGCTGAACAGCTGATGTCCGCTGTTCATAGCGATTCTTACACTTACCCAGGAGGACGGCTACAAAGTAGCCGCCATCGCGCGCGCAGATCCACCGGAAGTCCTAAATCATAAATATATTTTTAAAAGCAAATAGATAGATAGATAGATAGATAGATAGATAGATAGATAGATAGATAGATAGATATTATATATATATTACCAATATATATTGGTAATAACATTAAAAATATGAACCCTGGGTATATCCATGTTCGAAATAAAAGTGAGCACCAGGGAAGTTAAAACTATAAAAAGTTTAATTAAAAATGCTAGGCTTTCGCCGGCACCTGCCAACATCATCAGGGCTTAAAATGCTAGGAAGTGAGGAAGTCCCTTTATAGGTCAGCTAGGGTCTGCGCCCAGCTCCTCGATCTCGTCACCGGACCTAATTGAGTAGATTGTGCTCCGGTGATCCTTTTTTTTCCCTTTTTTGCACCACTTATCCATGTGTATGATATCACTAGTCTTCCCTTCATTGGGTTCTGGGTCGGGTGGAGCACCCTCCCTGTCCCCCTGGGTGTTCCCATCATTTTTTTCTTTTTCTCGCCCAGACCTTTTGGACAAGAAAAATATATATAATGCAGGATGGGGGATCAAGGATGGGAGATTGGAGTTAGGCATGTCTTTGACTCAATCAGATTGCTTGAGTAACCTGGTCTATTTGTTGTATAGCTGGCTATGTAGGGGATGTAGGTGTGTGTAAAAAGATTAAATATAGTTTAGTAATGATTTTTACTATGAATATATCTTACAGCCACAATAACAAAGCCCATCCCAGAGTCTTCCTCATTGCAAAGATCACTCATCATACAGCAGAACTTACCAAAAGAGAGGTCTAAACTGCCTGCTACAGCTCAAGTAAGACTTAATAAATGTATATATTTCTGTTGACATTTTAAGATATATTTTTAGAGTTTACATATGAAAACAAATCTGCTCCAAACAAGGAGGAAGCATAAAGTTTATGAGAAATTTTTATTTTTAATTGAATTTGCAAGATTATGTAACAACAGTTTTATTCACACTGACAAGAAGTAATTCTCTGAGCTTGCTCTGCCCTGTAAGCCAGCTCATTTTGCTACCCCTAGGAGTTTTCTTTTCCATTGGTTTCCCCGGTGCTAGAAGAATAGAAAGCATCTGGCCATCAAGATCTCTGCTGCTACTGTAATGGAACACAAAGTGAACAATTAATTTTTTTTATAAATGCAGTAACAATGATAAAAGCATGTAGGCTCTTTTTAATTCTTAATGTATAATGAAGTCCAAATTGTATTACTTTTTATAAATAATTTTATTTTATGAGAGGTGGGGAGGTAATTTAGTTGGCTGACCCAAGTTCTAAAAGGAACACAGGACCTAGTTCTACTTTCAAGAAAAAGGAACAAAGCTTATTTGTCCATATTTCAGTATTAAATATTGTTTTTCAAAGAAGAAAGGTTCACCTATCTGAGAAAATCATTCAAAAGCTGAAATGTATCTTCAGTTAAGACATTTAATAATAAATAATAAAGGTGGGATAAAAATAAATAAATATATTATATAACAAGATACAGATAATCCTCAATTTATGACCACAATCAAGACCAGAATTTCCATTGCTAAGCAAGGCAGTAAAGTGAGTTGCACTCCATTTTTTGTCACAGTTGTTAAGCAAATTGCTGCGGGCATTAAATCAAACGTGGTCATTAACTGAATCCAGCTTCCCCCATTGACTTTGCTTGTCAGAAGCTGGCTGGGAAAGTCACAAATGTCAATCACATGATCCTGGAACCCTGCAACTGTTGTAAATACATTCTAGTTGCCAAGTGCCTGAATTTTGATCACATCACCGTAGGCATGCTGCAGTTGATGTAAGCGTGAGGACCAGTTGTAAATCACTCTTTTCAGTGCCATTGTACTGAAAAGAGTCACTAAACAACTGAATGAAGACAAATATATGTGTCCAAGGATAATGTTGCAGGATCCAATCTGGGTCATTCACTGGGACCAGAAGTTTTGTCTTCCGAGCTTTCGAGAAGTTTCCTCAAGATGGGCTTCAGCACAAGTCCGAAAGCTTGGAAGACAAAACTTCTGGTCCTGATGATTGACCCAAATCCTGCAGCTAAACAAGTGGTTGTAAGTTGAGCACTATCTGAATTTCAAGGGAAAATATCTTAAGAAGCCAAGCTGTATTGAAAATGTCTGCATTTTATTATAAAAGAGAAAGATTAGTGAATTATGAGTAAAGCCTATTTATTAAACTATATTGCTTCCCTGATACAGGTAATCCTCATTTAGTGTGACTACAATTTCAACAAGAGATTTGGTCTTAAACAAAATGGTCATCAAGTGAAAATGTGATTATGCTTGTGATTTTAGCTTTCCTTTGTTTTACAGACTTGCAGTGGCTGTAAATACAAGGATTTGTCACAAAGCTACTTTTTCATCACTGTAAATAAATGTGAATGTTTGCTGTGCAAAGCTATTTATCTGTACTGTGCATATGAGTTATCTAAGACAGTTACCCCAGAAGTATCAAACTGAAATCGCTATAAGTGTTATGTGAAAGGCAGCTTGAGGGCTCTAATAGTCGTAGTGTCAGAATCCAATTATATTTCATCTCTAGTTATCAATTATAGAAAACCCCATTTCTGCCTTCTATGGATTCTGTCATACGATGAAGGGAAGGGGGTGAACAAAGGGGCTTTATGGCCCTCACTTCCTTCGGTACACTTCAAAGGAACTGGATGTGTGTATCACCAAAAGAACTAACCATAACAATGGGGCTATTACCTTCATATAGTTTTCTCTGAAGTCTCCATCCAGCTGGCAGTAAGGAAAAGGGGGTGGGAGTGTAATGCCTGAGACTGTCGCTGGAAGTAGGGGGTGATTGGGGGGGCTACTGGGGAACCCCTTAAAACCTTGAATGGGAGAGCTTGGAGCCCAAGTCCTGTCTAGAACGCCTGCAACCATTTTCTCTTAATAAAGGATGCCTGTTGGAAGAATTATTCCAAGAGTTCTGTCTTCTAAAGATGCAAAGTGGGGTGGGTCCTTACATTAGACAGGACTTGCAAAATTAATCCACCTGGAAGGGAGACCCTTGCCGGGGGATTTTGTAAAAATTTACCATGTGAGACAATGGAGCAAGAAAGGGGGAAAACTCCCTGGAAAGAGAGCCACTGCCCCAACTGGAACCTTGCCGGATATTGGGATTCGAGAGATCAGATTCCTCAGGAGAAGAAGTAGTGGAGACATGGGACCACAAGCCTCGTTGGTCAATGGGCGTTGGAAAGAAAAGTGAGTGGGGAAAGGAATCAAGAAAGGTGACCCTGAGACGGGGGGCCAAGCAAACAGAATGGAAGCAGGAGATGGAGAAATCCCTGCACGCAAGTGAAGAGGGAGAAAGCTGGGCACCGTACTCAGACTGGATCCTAGAGAAAGCTATTGACCTGATGAAGAGAACTCTCAACTCCCTAGGAGAGGAGAATCCTGAGCCCTACGGCCGCCTGAGCTCCTGGAGCTGCAAAGGGAGAGACACCGAGGGGGAAGTGGAACCTGCAACCCCGGGGACATCTGCTGATCCAGTAGTCCCCACCCCCTACCGAACCACAGATAGCGATCTGGACGGAAGACACTACCACCAACAACGGAGGCACCGATCCATTCCAAGACGTCCGCCGTTGGAGGTGAAATTCAAAGGGGAGCCAACACGCTTGGGGTTTTTCCTAACCCAAGTCCTCAGCTACATGGAGGAATACGGGCGGGACATCCCCAGCGACAAAGCCCGCATCCGGATCGTGCAATCTGCCCTGGACGGACCGGCTGCAGATTGGGTGGTGAACTTGCACGACTCCAATGCCCCAGAACTCAGCAACTTTAACCGTTTCATGTCTTCTCTGAGAAGATGATTTGAAGACCCCCTGGCTGATCGCAAAGCCCGCGAAAGGATAAAAACGATGAGGCAAGGCAAACGCCCAGTGGCTGAATATACACAAGAATTCCGGGCCATTGCCAGCAAACTGAACTGGCCAGAAGACATCTTCCTTAGCCATTTCAAAGACGGACTAAATTATGACCTCTATGACGCTTGCCTGTCCCGAGGGGACCCACACCAACTTGAGGAATGGTACATCTTGGCAGAGGAAGCAGAGATCAACATATTGAAGAGACACTGCTGAGGAAAACAATGGAGCCGCTCCCTGCCTGAGTTGACACACGAACTAGTGAAACCATTGGCTACAGCCAAGAAGCAAATGGGGTGTTTCAAGTGCGGAAGAGAAGGGCATCAAGCTGTAGAATGCCGCTCCAAAGCCCCCCAGCACAACCCAGACAGATCCCCAATCAGCAAATCCGGAAAGTCTTCAGCTAAGCCAAAAGAAACTGCCATGAGAATGATGGAAATTGCGGAACCCCCCCCACTTCTGCTCATCAGGGGGAAAGAACTCCAGCCTACACCGCAGGGCCGATGGATGCCTCAGATGACAGCTCGGAGGGCGAACCCCTGGTAAGTGCACGCATCGCACCCATCCTCAAGACAGTGACTATATTAATTTCCCCCATGCCTGAAGCCGTGAAAGTGAAAGCCTTAATAGATTCTGGCTGCACTCGCTGCCTCATTAGCCCGACACTGGTGGGGAATCTGGGCATTCCGTCGAGGAGACTGGAACAACCAATCTCATTTGGCCAGTTAGATGGATCCATAGCAGGGGGGGTGCCAGCTACCCTAGCCACTCTACCAATACATCTCTCCCTGGGCAAACATGAGGAGGACATAATGTTTGTGGTGACCCCAGGCATGGAATGCCCAATGAGCCTAGGGATGGAATTGTTAAAAAAATGGAACCCCTGGGTGAATTGGAGGACGACAGAAATCAAATTCCCGAAGGGAGACCCTATGGACTTAAAATCCCAAAGGGAGCTACCAGAATCAAGAATAGAAAAAGCATCCATGGGAGAGGAAAAGGGACTAACAGAAATACCAGAGGAATACAGAGACCTTGCTGAAGTTTTCAGTGAGGAGAGGGCGGATGAGCTCCCCCCCCACCGACCCACAGACTGTGCCATTGAATTCAAGCCGGGGGCAAAACTCCCGAAGCCCAGATTATACTCCATGAGCCCAAAGGAGAAGGAGGACATGGAAAGATTCATTAAAAAAAACCCTAGAGAGGTTTCATTGAGCCAGCCAAGCCTAAAATGGCTGCCCCGGTCCTCTTTAGAGAGAAAAAGGATGGCTCTTTATGCTTATGCATGGATTATAGGGCCCTGAATACAATCAGTGAAAGCAACCTATACCCTCTGCCCCCCATGAAAGACATGCTGTCACACCTCTTGAAAGGGAAAATTTTTTTCTAAACTAGACCTAAGGGAAGCTTACTATCGTGTGAGAATTAAGGAAGGGGATGAAAGGAAGACCGCATTTAACTGCCCCATGGGGTGCTATCAATTCAAAGTCTTGCCATTTGGATTACAAGGGGGCCATGCAATTAATCAATGATGTTCTAAGGGAGCACCTGTTTAAGGGGGTCCTTGTTTACTTGGACGACATTCTTATCTTCACCGAAACAAAAGAGGAACATGTCAACCTTGTCAGAGCGGTTTTAAAGAAACTGCGAGCCGCCCACCTATATGCCAAACTCTCAAAATGCGAATTCCACGATGAAAGGATTGACTACCTAGGTTATCGCATATCCCCCCAGGGCACTGAAATGGACCCAGAGAAGGTCAGAGCAGTATTAGATTGGGCACCACCCCGCACAAGAAAGCAACTACAAAGTTCCTGGGCTTTGCAAACTTTTACCGCCAATTCATCCCCTCATTTGCTCAAATAGCCTTGCCCCTTACTAACTTACTAAAAACAAAGGGAGCATCCTCAGTAAAACCTAGCCAGCCACTAACATGGACAATGGAGTGCCTAGCAGCCTTTGAGAGACTAAAGAGACTTTTTTCTGCCGAACCAGTACTAAGGCACCCAGACATGGATAAGCCCTTCGTAATACAGGCAGATGCAAGTGATGTGGCAGTGGGGGCTGTTCTATTACAAGAAAATGATGAGAAGGAGACATATGGGATACTCATGTGGCGACAGTTCCTGGAAGGCAACAAAATCCCCTTCCGGGTGTGGACTGATCACAAAAATTTGGAAGCCCTGAAAATGCCCAGAAAACTCAATCTCAAACAAGCCCGCTGGTCCCAGCATTTTCACCAGTTCCAATTTAAGCTCAAACATTTACCAGGGAGAAAGAACTTCCTGGCAGATGCATGCCCCAATATAACAGCACATGAGCCACAGACTCTAAACCAATGATGGCAGAGTCACAACTGGCAGCACCAGTAACCACAAGAACCCAAGCTAAATTAAAACCACAATTGGACAGCCAAACTGGAATTGAATTCCGAAAAAGTTTGGAAACAGATGAATGTTTCCAGAAAAACAAAAATGTGTGCACAATGAGAGACGTGTTGCCTTGGGTAGGGGAAAAGTTATATATACCAACAACCCAAAGAGTCACTTTCATGCACTTTTCATGGCAAAGAGTCACTTTGCCATGACACAAAATCAGCAGGGCATTTTGGATTTGTAAAAACTTAACACTTAATTAAACGGCAATTTTGGTGGCCATCAATAAAAAAGGACATAGAAAGTTATGTAGCCAGCTGCCCAAAATGTGCGACTGCAAAGAGGTCGCAAGGGAAATCGCCAGGACTATTACAAACAGTGGCAAATCCCTCAGCCCCCTGGAGGGAAATAGCCATGGATTTTATAGTGGAATTGCCAGAAAGCAATGGGAATACTGTTGTCAGGACGGTCACGGACTTGTTTTCCAAACAGGTGCACTTTATCCCTTGCCAAAAGATTCCCACTGCAAAGGCCTTAGGAAAACCTTTCGCCCAGCACATTTACAGATTGCATGGGCACCCCAACGCATCATCTCTGATAGGGGAGTGCAATTTACGTCTGCATTTTGGAAGGAATTTTTATCCTTCTTAGGGACCACTCAGGGACTGACATCTAGCCATCACCCTCAGTCAGATGGACAAACAGAACGTTGTCATTCAGTACTTGAGCAATATTTGAGATGTTTTTTGAATTTCCAGCAAAGTGATTGGACGGACTTACTCCCTTTTGCAGAAGTTGCCTACAATAATGCAGTTCACTCCAGCACAGGCTACACTCCTTTTCAGATAGCCAACGGTAAAAGTTTCAACCCCATGCCAGAATTAACCCCAAACAAACCAACGATCCCATCACTGAAAGAATGGATGGAACAATTACAAGACACCTGGCCAATAGTTAGAAAAGCACTAGATGAAGCTAGGCAGGCATACAAAGCACAAGCCGATAAAAAAAGGGTTGAGCCTACACCATTCATTACAGGAGAAATGGTGTACTTATCTACAAAATACCTAAAGTCCCTACAGCCCTGTAAAAAACTTGGACCAAAATATGTAGGGCCTTTTCCAATTAAAAGAATCATAAACCCAGTAACAGTAGAATTAGAATTACCCAAAAATCTCAGGCAAGTACACCCAATTTTTCATTGCGGCTTGCTGAAAAGAGAGTGTCAGTCACCTCTACGGCCAAAAATTCCCCCCTACCACCTCCAATCATGGTGGAGGGTGAACAACACTTCGAAATAAAGGAAATCCTTGACTCTAGGAGATCTCATGGAACGACTCAGTACCTAGTTGCCTGGAAACCCCTCCCTCCCTCACAAAACGAGTGGGTCCATAAACATCATGTCAGAGCCCCGAAGCTATTAAAGAAGTTTCACACAGAATACCTTAACAAGCCTGACTAACTTTTATACCTGTTTTGTTTTCTTTCAGGTGGATCTGTCATATTTTTGAGGGGGCAGGATGTCAGAAACCAATTATATTTCATCTCTAGTTATCAATTATAGAAAACCCCATTTCTACCTTCTATGGATTCTGTCATACGATGAAGGGAAGGGGGTGAACAAAGGGGCTTTATGGCCTCACTTCCTTCGTACACTTCAAAGGAACTGGATGTGTGTATCACCAAAAGAAATAACCATAACAATGGGGCTATTACCTTTCATGTAGTAAAGAAAAGGGGGTGGGAGTGTAATGCCTGAGACTGTCGCTGGAAGTAGGGGGTGATTGGGTGGGGCTACTGGGGAACCCTTAAAACCTTGAATGGGAGAGCTTGGACCCCAAGTCCTATCTAGAACACCTGCAACCATTTTCTCTTAATAAAGGATGCCTGTTGGAAGAATTATTCCAAGAGTTCTGTTTTCTTAAGATGCAAAGTGGGGTGGGTCCTTACACGTAGTCCTCAACTTATAACAGTTCATTTAGTGACCATTCAAAGTTACAATGGCACTGACAAAAGTGACTTATGACTGTTTTTCATACTTATGACTGTTGCAGCGTCCCCTTGGTCACATGATCAGAATTCAGATGCATGGCAATTGATTCAGATTTTTGATGATTGCAGTCATGTGATCACCTTTTATGACTTTCTGACAAGCAAAGTCAATGGGGAAGCCAGATTCATTTAACAACCATGTCACTAACTTAACAACTGCAGTGATCCACTTAACAATTGTGGCAAGAAAGGTTGTAAAATGGGACAAAATTCACTTAACAAATGTCTCACTTAGCAGCAGAAATTTTGAGCTCAATTGTTGTTGTACTTTGAGGACTACTTGTACATGGGAAGCCCCTATATGTTAACATAAATGTGTCTAGCAGTCAAAAATACAGAATATTAGTAACATTGCAACATGTTGTACCAAACATCAATTTATCAAATTACAAAAAAAAGCCACTTCAAAGCAGACCCAACTCTGCATGCCAGCAATAGCAAGTTGAGCAGTGCTGGCAACAGAAATGTCTCAATGTAGACGAATTTTCTTAACCCTGACAGTTCTAAAATAGATGGACTTCAGGTTGGGGAATTCTGGGAGTTGAAGTTCATTCATCTTAAAGCTGCCAAGATTGAAACACTGATGTTCATCCAGAGCTAAAATGCTCTGCCCTGCTTGTCCTGTCCATGTATGGGACCATTCTCTACCCCAGCAGTAATAAGGCAAAACTATGGGGACAAGTGGGGCTCCAACAACATGCTGATGCAGGATTTGGAACCTAGCTGTCCTTCAAGCCCAAGGGAGAACACTCTGGCCACCTGAGCTTGATAAGCCAAGGCGCACTCTATTCTCCCATGCTGGCCCATTCCTTCCCAAGAGGTACTATAAGTCCCCCAAAAATAACCAGAGGGGGATACATGTTTGAGAGCCACAGCTTTCATATTGACCAAGCTTAGTAAAAAGAGACTCAGAAATCTTTATTTCTTGTTTAAGCTCTCTTCCCAATTTACTATGTTTCAAACCATCAAGAACCAACTTGAGCAGCGAACCCGTATACTGCAAGCTAACATTCAGTGGCAGCAAGAAGAGTTGCAGAAAATCCAAGAACAGCTGTGCATGGTACAAGATTCCAATATACAGGTTAGCAGAACACACCAATATATATATTATTTAAACAAATTATTTTATCCAGCAAGTTGCAATTACTGAATTGAAAATATACAGTATACAGTACTTATCATGAGATTATTTGATGGATGGGCATATACACAAACACACACATACGTATATACACAGTTTATATATATTATTTATAATTTCAGGGAAGAAACGTTTATTGATAAATTTCTAATAAAGCATATATATTTCATCCTATCTTGAATATGCTGTTCCTATAATATTTTAGGTTTTTCTCAATATAAAGGAGAAATCAAAATATGTCACTGAACTCCTCAAAATAACAAAGGTTTTCAGCAGAGCCATTACACCTTATTATTACTTTAAACTGTTCTAGGATAAAAAATCTGTGAGAATCTTGGAAGAGATTCAAGATGGTTGTCATTCTTCTGGCAATTTAACCTCGCCCTTGAGCAATGCTTCTGTGCTCTCACCATCTTTGGCTATAGCACCATCTCCTGCTATTTCACAGGATAGCAGCCTCCAGCAAAGCCTTACAGATTTGGGCCATGATCGACAACTAAGGTAAAAGAATTGCAATAAGCTTGTGTTTTTCTTTTTTCTTTTTTCATCTTTATTTGCGGTAGTATAGTAACAAATTTTATCAGAAGTTTAAATTATTATTGTAACAGACATATAGACATACATGCATAATCTATCCTGCTATTTTCATGTAAGCAATGTTATGCAGAGCATAGAAAAGGTATAAATTTTAAAAGAGTAATGCTCCAAATAAAAATCATAAATATGTAGAAAGGTATATTCTTTCATCAGGAAGATGTTTTTTAAATACAAACAATAAAAACTAAAATAGAACTAATATTTAGAAAGAAAAAAAGAAAGAAGAGAAGAAAAGAACAAAGACAAAATGCAAAAGATGTGAATTTTTAAAATCTTCTGAATTATTATATGTAATTGAGTCCAAAATTTTCTGGCTTTTAACATGTCTACCAAGCATGTAAAATGTCCCTTCTTTTTTATTACACTTCCAGCATAAGTTTAAGAAAACTTTATAAATTCTATATAGTTTTTCTGGTGACATGTACCAAAGTTATATCAGGAAATTTAATATATTGAAAAATATACAGAGAATAAACGCAGAAATACATTTTTAAATTTTTGATCTATAAGTTGACATTAGCAATCCATCTAATTTTTTTAATAGGGAAAATATCTTATTTTACATTCCTTTAAACTCATTTTAGAGTACCCACTAATAAATTATACAGATACACATAGAGATGCAATTTTTTTTGAAAGAAAAAACTATGTATGAAATAGAAAAAAAATCTGCCTAAAATATAACATGAATTGTATTTTAGTTGCTTCACAATACGCAAAACAAGTAGCTTCATAATGCACAATAGCAAATGTGCATACAAACATATACACATACATATACACAGCTTTCTAAGCAACTTTATAACCCTTGCAAAAGTCACAGCTTTAATGATGTAAGAGAGCTGCTTCATGTCATTTGCATGACTGCACAGAGTCTTCACTTAACAACAGTTGCTTAGTGACTGTTCAAAGTTACGATAGACTTACCTAGAGCTACTTATGACCCAGTTTCAAAGTTCTGACAGTTGGCATCCCTCCTGCAATCGTGTGATCCCATTTTAGCCACTTGGCAGCTGGCTTGCATTTATGACTGTTTGCAATATCCCACAGTTGCATGACCATGATTTCTGGCATTTTTTGCTGGAATCTGGGAAATAACTTTCAATTTCTGGCAAAAAAACACACTTTGTGGAAAATGGGTTTGCCTAATGACTGCTGCAAAAAAAGTCATAAACTGGGCAGTGACCTACTTAATCACCACCACAATTCTAGGTTCCATTATGATTGTAAGTTGAGGACTCTCTGTAATAGAATGATTCACAGTGCTCTGTTACACACAACTGCATAATGTTCAGATATTAACTTTCTGACCTTCTAACATCAAATCCTTCCTTCCTCCTTCCTCCCTCCCTCCCTCCCTCCTTTCAATTTATTTGTTTTGACATTAAATATGTTATTTAATTTCTGGTGTCTAGACTGCTACTTAGTCAACCTGTTCAGCCAATGATGCCTGGATCCTGCCATGCAAGGATAACAGATGTTGATGTGGCTGGTCACAGCAAAAAGTATGTGTCATGCAACTGTTGGCGTGGAAATTTCAAAATTTATGAGAGAAACAGTATTCTTTTATGTCCCTGCTATACATTAAAGATACAAGGGATCCTTGTTATCCATGGTTCTGTGTATAGGTGTCCTCTGTTGCTGAAAAGATATTTTACTTCAGATTCCAAAAGAAAGATTTTAATGGTTCTGCAATTTTGGAGTTAGATTTTGTTTTTATACGCTTGTGCAAAATGGTGACAGGTTTTTCCTTATGCTTAAAATATATTTTTTCTTGTCTTGATAACAGTGGTTTTGTTATCAGTGTTATCACTGGACTTTAACCCCCATAAATAATAACAATAATAAATAGGAACAATAATAAATATTTTGTTCCTATTTGGGTCATGTAGTAATCTCTTTTTTTGTGTAAGTTAGCTCTGTGATTTTTTTTCCACCCCAAAGAAAATCTATTAATACCCTCCTACTTAAGAAGTTTCAACAAACCATTCATCTTAATCACTAAAATTCTTGCAAACAGAGATCATTAAAATTTAAATTCTTTTACACATTTACCCATAATATCTCATAATTATTTTATACACTTTAAATTAAAAAAATTATAATATATATACTCCCAAATATTTAAATTTTTCCACTAAATCGACACCTTCTATTATTCTTTTTCTTTACATCTACATACTACACAAATCATTCACTATGCCTTTAAAACATACTAAATCAAACTACCAGCTAAACTAACATTTACTGTTCTTTTTCTTTACATCTACATATTACACAAATCATTCACTATTCCTTTAAAACATCTTCTATCTCAAAAAAAAAAAACTACTACAAAAGTTCATCATTTCCTTTTCTTTATTCCAACATCCGCCTTCTGCTGTTCTTTTACTTTACGTCTATAGGCTGCACGAGTCATTCTCGGTTTCTTTAAAAAATCTTCTGTCATAAGAGACTGCTGCAGAAATTCAGCCTGTATGTCTTCTACATCCAATACCATAGTACCTTCAACCTGCTGCCCTTCCAACTTTTCTTCTATAATCTCAGGTCGTAAAGATGATGGAGAGCCCCGCCTTCAAAACAGAAGTGTAAAAATCTTTCGCCTTTGAAATTGTATTAAGTCTATGATATATCCCCACATAATTCACCGCTATTCCAGCTGGTATCTCCCATCTGAACCGGACCTGTCGTTTTTTGAGCTCATCAGCCAAAAAAGCAAAATTCTTTCTTTTTCTAAGAATTTTTGAAGGTATTTCTTTTAAAATTATAACATCTTGAGTTGCAATTTGAAATCTCTACTTATAAAAAGCCTGTAAAATTTTATTACGAAGTGATCTCCTAGAAAAATAAATAACTACATCTCGTGGCAAATTCCTCTGCCTCGCAACCCTTGAATTAACTCTAAAAACTTTTTCCGTCTCTCTCAGTATTTCTTCAGGCTCAGCCCCCAAAATGAAAGCTATATCTCTGTGATTGTTGACACTTAGATAGGTCTTAATTTGTGATGGATATAGAAATATATGTGCTGCCATAATAGAACTGTACTACTAGTAATTTTTTTCACGTCTTGACTTGTGGCAAGTGCCTGGACAAGTCCCTGCAGTTTTATTGTCAATATTTCCAGAAGTGTTTTGTCATTACCCTCTTCTTCCTAGGATCAAAAAAGAGTGACTGGCCCGTAGGAGGACCAAAACTAAGGGAGGACCAAAACTCATAGTCTCTTGGTTTCTACAGTTATGGTCCACTTCATGATCTTTGTCACATGATGAATGGATCTGGGAAGGCAGGGCTGAGATGGTTGTCATGAATTCACATTTTAGCAAAATTTTAAAAAGTTGAGGTCCATGTTTGGTCAGAACAACGTATCCAGACAAGATATAAATTCTAATAGAACAAAATCAAGAGCATAAAAGATTAGATTCATAATGATGAAGCACATGGCCCAGGAGAGCTTCAAGTAAGTGCAAATAGAGTCATTCAATAAGTGCAAATATTGCTTAGCAACAAGCTTATCAAATTTAGTCACCATCAGAGCTGCAGCTCCAGTTAGGAACTGAAGCCTTTGTATAGCATTTATACAGCAGTCCTGATTTGTAAAGCAATTGTGTCTGTAACAATATCTGAACAGCATATAGCTTTCTCACAACAGGAGGCTTATGTAGAAAACATGTGCTTCATAGGATGGATTATCCAGGATATAGTAATATCTATGGTAAACCTCTGGAGCAAATAGCTTTCTCCTACTGACAATTCCTCAAACAACTCTTCTTTAGTATTTTAAAGATGTTTTTCCTTAATTTTCCTTGTAATGCCAAAATCCTAAATTTCTAATTCAAATACTATTCTATATTTTCCAATTCCTCTAACTCTGAATGGCAGAACAAGTTGTCATCTTTTTAAAAAATCTTTTTATTAATTTTCCAATGTTACAATGTTACATCCGGTTTGCCCCGGCCGCCATGGATGTCTGGGAGATGAGCTTCATCTCCCCCGTCCAGTTTCGCATTGCTGGGGGCTCTGAAAAGGGTTGAAAGTCACCCCATAGAAGTGATCAGCAAGGAGGGGCTCTCGCTGGATTGCAGGAGAGCAGTAGCTCTCCTGCTAGAGCCGGCGAATCCCTCCAAACGGCGAATGAAAGTCCAGCCCTAGAAATATGGCTTGTCACTAGGCTGCAGACAGCCGAAGTCACACTCACCATCTGGCAACTTCAGAACGCGTGGAAAGGACTGGTTGAGATCTACCTCTCTTAAATCCTAATTGCTTTTTTGTACCTAATCAAGCTGCTAAAGTACTTTTCCCCCTGTGGAGAGGGAAGGGGGATTTTAGCCCTCTCTCCAGAGACAGCGGCAATTGATTATACAAGGGAGTTTTGAAAACGTTGAAAAAATAATTGGATCCCAATTGGAACTTTATTTCCTAAAGCTTCTGGATTAAAAGATTTTTGATTATCTACTTTCTACTTTCTATTTTTATTTGAAAGTCTTGGTTTTTCCTCTTAAAATAGAAGAAAAAAACCGAAAGGATTAAAATAACTTTGAGATTTAAAGGAATTCCTTAAACAGTGGGGTGACATCTTGTGGCTAAATCTGAAATTGCAATTTGTTATTCTTAAAGAAAAGAGCTTTGGCTGACAGTTCAGAAAAAAAGATAAGATTCATGTAACCTTGAACACCAGCTATGAGAGTTTTAGCTCTGTTTTTTATTTACTGGGGGGGAACTATAAAAGTTTTCAATTCAACTCATCACTATGGAAGACTAGGAACAGACCTTTCCTATGGAAGAAATATAAAAACAAATTTTTGCTGTTTTGAAAATAACTTACCAAACTCACCAAACTCTTCTTACAGCTGGTGATGAAATAAGAGCTTTTGGGAAAAAACCAGAAAGTGTCTTTAGTTATAGTCAAATTTTGACTATAACTAAAAATCTATCTATACAGAATACAACAGAAAAAATTGAACAATTAAATATTATAACAGAGGACCTAACTGCCCAACAAGTACAGACAATTGAAAATTCAGAAAAAAAATTGACAACAAGGATGGAGGAAAAAACTTGCTATATAAATCAGAAGGAATTTGAAGATCAAGAAGAGAAACAGATGGAAGAAAAGATAAACAGTTCAGGACAACTACGTCAAGAGGAGAAAATAAAGAGACGATCTGGTAGTCCTGCCAGACCCCTCAGCCTTCCAAAAATGGCAACTGGATGGTCATCTCAATATGACATAATATATACTATAATACAAGAATTCTTTGAGGATCCTGAAGCAAGGACATGAAAGATGATTTGGCAAAGAAAAAAAGACAGAAGAAGACTGAAGAAGAATGGAGTGTGGATATATTTAGGAGTTTTAAAATAGAATATACCTAAGTAGACAAGACCCGTATTTTGAATATGAGATATTGTTATGATGTGAAGATAAAGAAAAATGTTGGCTAATTAAAACCTAGATCCATAAATATCAACAGTTAAATTGAAATATTGAATTGTTTATAAAGGTTAGATAAAGGTGATTAAGACATATATATGTTAAGAGTGATGTAACATAATTAATATGTTTTGATGTAGTGATAAGAATAAAAATTATAAGCTTAAATATGAGAAAGTGGACATAAGGAAGAATGCTGAAATGGGAGAAATTTTGGTTATTGAATCTATAATAATATTGGAAATTATAATGAAAATAAGAATATTATATTGTATTATTAATCTGTTGATATAGAAGTGAGATAGATATGTATCCGGAACACTAGATGTTGGGGGGGAATTGTGACAAAGGGAATTGGGGTCATTTAAACATTTGGAAATTATAAATAGTAAACGTTTAATTTAAATATCAGCGCAAAATTAAAGCTGGGAAAATTCATAAGGTTATTGATGGTCCAAAAGATGGAATGTTAAAATAAATAAGACATATAAAATTATTAATAAATGTAAGAAAGCTATTAAGTAGCTGATGGATAGAATAAGAAGTATACTAATTTAAACAAGAGATAGTATGTATTAAGGGAAAAAAAGAGAGGAAATATTGGCTGTAATAGTTGGAGATTTGTATTAATAATATTTGTATGTAATGGAATTATTGTAACTCAGACACCATGTTGCTTTTCAAAGATATAATTGTAACACAAGTTGTCATCTTATCAGCACCAAAAGAAAAGTATTGTTAATGTTAAATCAGTTTCTGACTTCACAACATTGCTGTCATCCCTGCTTAGTTTCTCTCATGCTGGGAGGCCTACCAAAAGGATTTTAGTTACGCAGACTCTTCATGAAGGGTAGAAATGAATAGGGTTGGTTACTTAATGCTTCGTATTTTTATCTGTTGTTCCTAACATATAATCAATAAAATTTAGATTTTGCTGTACAGAGTTTTTACTGAAAATTGCAAGACTGTTTCTTTTCACAGGTATTTTCAAAAAATACAATCTTGCCAAGGTTTGGAAGCACAAACTTCCAGCAACAGTTCACCAGTGGTGCTTATGAGACAACTAGGATTGTACACAGGATTCTCCGGAGCATCTCCATCTCAGTCCTCATCTTTGCAATCTATGCATCAACATCTTCCACAGCAATGCTACCTTCAGGTGAGCTGGAACAAATATACTTTAATGTAAATCCCACTTGAATGTCCTTTTAGCTGGAGGGGCAGCTCAAAGAAAAAGTAATAATATTTTTTTATTCTCCATTCTTCATTGGAGTTGGTGGCCTTTTGAGAGCTGTATGCAACGAAATTTCATTTTAATGTATGCTGATTAGTGTACATTCAAAGTGACAATAAGGTTATTCTGTTCTGTTCTGTTCTCTATACAGCAATGAAGGGAATTTCTTTCTGAGTTGCAAAAATTGAACTTGGCCATAAGTTATTGACATAAACGTCTGCAAGTATGCAAATATTTTTGGGCATGTTGCTACTGTACAGGAAGTCCTCGACTTACAACAGTTTATTTAATGACTGTTCAAAGTAACAACCATATTGAAAAAAGTGATTTATGACTGTTTTTCACACTTATGACCATTGTAGCATTCCCATTGTCACATGATCAAAATTCAGACTCTTGGCAACTGACTCCTATTTATGACAGTTGCAGTGTGCCAGGATCATATGATTCCTTTTTGCGAACTTCCGACCAGCAAAGTCAATGGGGAAGCCAGATTTACTTATCGTGTTACTAACTTAACAACTCCAGTAATTCACTTAACATCTTTGGCAAGAAAGGTTGTAAAATGCGGCAAAATTCACTTAATAAGTGTTTCACTTAGCAACATAAATTTTGGGCTCAGTTGTGATGTAAGTCAGGGACTATCTGTATATGTAGCAAAAGCATTCTATCTTTTAAAAATAATTCCTATAGCAGACTTATTGCATATATCATTTCTTGAATTACATTATGTATCTATTTTATACCATATTGAACCCCAAGTTTTATTTACATTCATTGTCATTTGATTTGATATTATGCCTGACTGCACTTAGGACCTTTCTTGACCTACTGTATATCTTTTTTTTTAATAAGGTACAAATTGTTAGAGAATTTTAATTTCTCTAATTGATTAAAAAATAAATCAGAAGCTCTTACAGTTGACTGCATTTAGCTGATTCAAATAACTTTATATTTATATAAAAATATTTACAATACCATTCTTCTTTACAGCAACATAACTCAATGAAGTCTTCTTACAGAAGCAGACCAGAGAGGAATCTTGAGACTGGAAATCCAGCTCCTAACTCTATACTCTTTTTGCACAGACTCAGTAGCACTTTCTTCACATTGGCTGACTGAGTTACCACATGACTCTTCCTGTTCATGAATATTCCAACACAAATGGAGTTGTTTTACTGCATCAACACAATCTAATTTAAATTAGTCTTTAATATTAATCTTTAAACTATGTCCATCAATAATGTATTCCAATTGCTATAGATGCTGATTCTATTGTAATCTAAAGGTTTCTTATCTTCAGATAAAATAAGAGACATGTAGAAAAATTCATAACAATGGCTATACTATTATATTCGTAATGATTGCCAGCCAAAATCCTCAACAGATTGCAGTAACTTTGAATATTAAAATTTTCTAAAATTTAAGTATTGTTTTACTAAAATGGTAACTGATAGTTTAGATAATTCTGCATCTGTATGCTGTTTAAATAATAAACTCAACCTTCCCATAAATAACTCTCGTCAATCAACCCTCATCTAAGCAAAGTTTTCTTACATCAAACAAAAATGAACAGAGATCAAAAATCTAAATTTTCCAAGAATAATCCACACACTGACAGTACTATCTTATTAATATATTACCTAATATCTAATATCATCTAATTTTGTAGTCTGTCATATAAGAAGGATCATTTGGATTGTTTTTTGATAAACAGCAGTACTTTGTCTACAGAAATGTTACATCATCCAAAGGACATCTACAAAGTCCCTTTGCGCAAAGCTATTAAGACTGTAATTCATAGAATAAAATAGAATAAAATAGAATAGAATAGAATAGAATCTTTGTCACTTTAAATGTACACTAATCAGCATACATTAAAATGAAATTTCGTTGCATTCAGCTCTCAAAAAAATACCATTATGCATATATCCCCCACACACATGACACAAAGAAACATCACAGCCTAGTTCAATTATATACATATATATGGCGAAAAAAAAGGAATCCTGTGAATTTACAAGACAATAAACCTTATGAACTTCCTCTTTCATATATGCATATAGCTTTTTGTTATATTTAAAGGAGATAGGTTATTTTCCATTCTTATTGATTGGTGCAAGGATTCAAAAAACTCTTAGGTAACTTATTCTAATTAAAGTTTTTCTTTGATAGTAATATGTATTTTATTTTCTGAGTTTCTGCTCTTTAAACTCCTTTATATTTAAAAATTTCAACTGATTTAAAATAGTTTCATTTTGAAGTACATTTACTTACAGTATTCTACTAATAGTTCTTTAGCATGAAAGTAAAAAGAGCATTCTCTATTAGACATATTTCAAATATTTCTAACATAGGAGGAAGCTAACTATAAATTAGTTTCACTACTGTATATATATGTGTAGAAAAAATTGCTTATATTTTATGTACATCATGCAAGCATCAGTATGTTTGTTCATTTATTTTTCATATTTCTTAACCACCCACCTCTCTCAGTTTTTTATCTGGAACAAACTGTTTTAATGTGATTATTGTGCAGGAAAATGGGCAGTGTACATGAGGTCATTATTTCTAAATCTGACTTTAGCACATTGTCTTTATCAAGTGCAGTTCCTTTTGTTTTATGCACCATAATAACTTCCTTGTTCCTTTTGTTTTTTCCTTTTGCTACATGGGAACTCCCTGAATGATGATTTGATTTTGATGGGTTTTGATATTATAGCTAGTAAGTTAGCAGTTAAAATAAGTCATTTTTTTCACGGTGAACTTAAAGAAGGAGATATGAACCCACTTTATCAGTAATAAAGTCTATTAATAGATGCTATCAATCACTAGACATAAAACACATTTAGTTTTTATAACAAGTTTGAAGTGTTAATGTGAGATATAGAACTCAGTTGGACTGATTTTCCAAACGTACATTGACTTGATCTGACTTGGTTTCTTCATACGTTATCTTTAGTGAAGTGTGCAAATCAACATTTGCATTTCTTGCGTCGGATGAGGAGAGCACATCTTTCTCAGGCATGACTGAGAGCATTTCGACAAACTGCATCACTGTTTGGTTTAGTGGTAGCAATGCCTCAAATAGAAGGTCCATACAGAGAGTGGTAAGAAAAGCTGAGATTATAGGAAGCTCGCTTCCCGTTATTCTGTATACCGCTCATAAGTGCTATGTGCTTAGAGCTCGAAGCATCGTGAGAGACCTTGCTTCACATCTGTTTCTATTGTTCCCCTCTGGGAGGAGGTTTCAAAGTATTTATAGCAGAACTACTAGATTCTGTAACAGCGTTGTTCCTTATGCTATCCGTCTTGTAAATTCGCAGGATTCCTTTTTTTTGCCATGTATATGTATACATTCAAACTAGACTGTGATGTTTCTCTGTGTCATATACATGTGTGTGTATGTGGGTATATGCATAATGGTATTTTTTGAGAGCTGAATGCAACGAAATTTCATTTTAATATATGCTGATTAGTGTACATTTAAAGTGACAAAAGATTCTATTCTATTCTATTCTATTCTATTCTATTTTCACTTGAAAATGCAAATAAACTAAAATATTGATGCCAAGCAAATTGTCATAGAAAGATTGGAGCTGTTGCAAAATACAATAGAAAAATATCTGATTCAAAATTGAATTAAGAGAGAATTTTGATGACATAGATTAAAAACAATCTATTTCCTGTTTACTGTCCAAGCCCTTGATTAAATCAAAGAATTTCAGTTTAATTAAGCCTTTGGTCTATAATTGTACTAAATCTGGACCATGTGTATGTGACTATATATATATTAGTGAATATATTAATATAGTCAAAGAGGTAAAAAAAATCACACGTTTGCAATAAAAACTGAATTCATTATTTTTGATTTGTTGAACCATTTTTAACTGCATTGCATTTTATTTCTTATATATAGGTACAGCCGGCAGACTCTCTGCACAAGGTGCAAGCAGATTCTCTGTCTGTCTCTCTACAGGAAGGAGGTATCGAGTACCACCACATGCCAATGAAGCAACAACCTGGTACCAGAAGTATCATGAGCTTACCTGAAAATTTAAATGTGCAACATCGGCAATAGATTCTGCCTTCTCTGTCAATGTACAATTAACTTCATTAGTGGGAGGAAAATGTTTGTGTTATATGGAATATTAGGACCTTGGTGAAATAGTGCAATAAAATGGAAAGGGAACATTTTGCAGGTATTTGCACTATTTTGTAGTTATGTTATGAAATAATAAGACTGCAGTGTTTTGGATTCCATTTACAAAGAGTGTTTCACGGTTATGTGGGAGTATGAATGTAGCACTTGTTTGCAACATCTGAATGGAAGTGTGTGTTTTCCTAGGAAAGATGTACCTAATTTAAGGTTTTTCATATTGTTGCTACACGTACTTCCATTTTAGATGGAATCTAAAATGCTGCAAAGCAATAATGACCACTAATACTAATATGTACCATTAATTTGACACTAACTGCTACATGTTCCTAGAAGTCTCAGCTGAATAGTTTGATCAGAAAGTGTTAAAGTGGGAAAAACACTTGGCTTTCATTATTTTGATCATTTAAAATGAAAACCCTTGGTTAGAAAATATATATTCAGAAGATTTTATTTTTTATTATGGCTTATTGTTAATTGTTTTGCACAACTGCACAAAGAGCATAACTTGGCACTTTGAATTAGGAAAATTCCTCTTTCAGCAGCCAAACAAGCAGTGAGATAGATCATGCTGTCATTTCTTTAGAACAACCGACACATCTTTAATCTGTACCCTTTGGACTCTTAAATTACAAGTATTAAACTTGTTATCATCACTCCACCCAAGGTTTCTACTGTCAAGAAATTACAATGGACAGCTTCCTATTCATTTAGTATAGTATAAACAGTTAACCTAAGCACAATCACGCAGCTATTTATTCCAACATAAAATCATGCTGTCCAAACTCTTTATATTTTTTTCTTATAATGGAAGAGTTTTTTTGCTAGTCACAGAACAAACAGCTGAAGAATATGCACTGTGTCACAGCCCGTTAAGTGGAAAAATGCTGCAATTCTATTACATATCTATTTCATGATTACATTTAAGGTGGAACTTTCCTTAAAGCGTTGCACTTTGTATGCTTTGCATTAATGTTTCTAAGAGATATTTTATGTCATTATAGAATAAGTAGCGTAAAAAATGTTGTTGTTAAAAAAATCAAAACCCTGACCAATTTCTATATAAAATAAAAGTGTATGGGAATATGTGGAGATTATTTTGTGTATGGAAGATGAACTGCTCTTAGTTTTTTGTAATAATTTTTATTAGAGATTGCAAATACAAAGACTAATACAAACTGAGAAAAATATAAAAAGTAAAGAGAAAAAGAGAAGTAAAAAGAGATAGAAAAAAGGAAATAAAAAGAAACAAACAACAAAAAACAAATATATAGAAAAGTCGACTCCCCCTCCTCCAGAGAAGTATAACTTCAGTAACTTAACTTCAGTAAAAAAACACTCCTCTCCATATCTCATCCCTTAGCAATAATCAAATTATAAAAGCCCATCATTCAGTTCTAATCAGCAAAAGTCTATTAAAAGCTACCAGATATAGTAACATATTATATTTTAATAAATCTACTTTATATTCCAATTTATTACTTTATCTAAGATGAACTCTTTTTTAGAACTCTTGTTTTTAAACTTTTTTGTGGGTGAGAATTTAAATATAGTAAGACAGCTTGAGAGTTATAGGTTTAATACACCTGTCTACAATATGCTCTTGGTAAGACATATGCTTTGATTGAAAACATACAGGGCTAAACCACCCTGTGATTTTTTTTAACATGGTCATTGCCTAAGGCTTCTATCCATTGTGTCTTCCATTTCTCAGTCCTGTCCCTTGAGGCAAGTAGCAGCATTCAAAAGGCATAGTATTCAGCAAGATTAATAAGTTAATTATTTAGCGTGTAATACAACATATACAGTATGGAGTGAATGCAGATGCTCATTTACCAAGTAGTAACATATTAAGGCATATAGGAAATATTCCTCTGTAGCTTTCCCCCCCATACAATCAGCATAATTATCTGACACTTCTGTTGTCTAACCCAGTTATACATATTCAATGCCATTTAAATGTCTGATGTTTAGAGGCTGATAGGATAGTACAGATTGTCCTTAGTTAACTATCAATTGCTTAGCAACCATTCAAAATTGCAATGGCACTGAATGAGTGATATTTATAACTGATCCTCAAAGTTCCAGCCTTCCTAGGGTCATATGGGTGATCTGAGCACTTGGCAATTGGCTTGCACTTATGATGGTTGCAGCATTCCCAGTCATGTGAGCGCCATAATGCAACTTTCCTTTCCTTTCTCACAAGAAAAGTCATTGGGGAAGCCAGCAGAGAAAGTTGGAAATTGGTCCTGTAAGTTTTTCTCCAGGGATCTCATACTGTGTAATGTTTTTGCCACAATATCCCCTTTCCAGACCCATGCACTTTTGTAGCACCGCAGCACCTCCTCCCCAGCCTGTATGCACTCGTGTGGTGCCAGAGCACCCCGACTCAGGAATGGGACAACTCACCATGGCCAGCTCAGCACGGGACAACTCGCCACAGGACAATTTAACAATTCAATTATTTAAAATAAATAAAAAATCATTTTAATTGTTGTCATTCACATTTGATTTTGTCCCTCCTTTTGCATCCTTTTCTTAATGATTCTATTCCACCATTTATTTGATATTAAGTGTAATTCTTGTCCTGCAACGAGTTGTTCCCAGCGTGAGTTGGTTATGACGAATTGGCTATGGTGAGTTGGCATAGACCTTCCTGACTCACTTTGGAATACTTGCCTACCCTCTGACCTGCTTGTGAGCCACTCATGACTTGCAACTTCCAGCTAGCTTCCCCATTGACTTTACTTATGGGAAGGCTGCAGGAAGTTGAAAATCATAGTCATGTGAGGTTCTTGCTTAGTGAGTCATGATTTTTTTGGTTAACAATGGCAACAGGGACTGCCAGGATTGTTCTAAGCCAGCAGCTCCCAACCTTTTCTATACCCTGCACCCCTAAAACGCTTCTGATATATTCTTGCACCCTTTACAAAAGTTCGACATAACAGTAACGATTTATGCATATACATTGTAATTTTAAAAACCCAAGTTTTTGCACCCCCGGTTGGGAACCCTGCTCTAAGCGATGTGGTCATGTAACATCATGCTTTACGAATGCAGTATTTAGCAAACAGAAATTCTGGTCCCAATTACCATTGTTAAGCGAAGACTATTTGTATGTTTAATCAAATTGTATTAATTTTTCTATTTAATGTTTAAGGTCATGATCACAACATTTTCTGTTCTCACTATGTTGCTACTATGGATGCAATATAGCAGTGTTTCAAAAAGCTTGTTGCTACAAATGGTATACCTTGAAAATAGCCATATTTCTCTCAATGTCGTACCATAGCAAACTTTGCCCTTCAAGAATTTTAGTTACTGTAGAGTTCATATACATGCCATGGTGAGCTGACAGCTTGCTAGCTTTTTTTGACTTGCAAGACAGCTTTTCCAAGGGAATCACCGGTGGATCCTAACTGGCATAATCTCTCCAGAACAAAGGAGAGATAAATTGAGATTATTCATGTGGCTCTGGACAACTGCTTCTCATGAGCAAACTGTGGAAATTGCTGTTTTTAAATGCTTATACGTGGTATGGCTGACAATCGGGACTATGTTAAGCTCATACTCACAAAACAGCCTTTATGGATATTAAATTATGCCAAGCCTTATATGTTAATCTTGTTTTTGTATTTTTTGTTTTTTGCATATTAAGACTCTTCAGACTGGCAAGGTTTTTTTTTACTGTATTCATTGGATGAGATTCCACCTCCTTAAAAGATGATGGTGTAAATTTTATTTTAAAAGCTTTAAAAATATATTATATTTGGAGCAAAAGGAATTTAGTATATGGATTTTGAAAGGTAGTAATAGATTAAGGGGCTAGAGGGATTTGGAATTATAGTTTTGAATTATTTAGAAGATATTTTCCCAATGGAAAATAGAGATTACTTTATTGTTTTTTAATGGGAAGGAGACCTTGAAGGCTGGACACTAGAGCCAGAGGATAAGAACAGAAACCATTAGTGCATTTTTATAGAATGGATCAAATGATTAAAAAATTAACAGATCATATTCTAATGAAGTTGTAAAACAACTGTGTGAGCTTCAATGGATGTCTATGAAATTAATTTGAAGGGGATTTAAAAGTAATACAAATGGATTAGATAGATGACTCATTCTTTAAAGGAGATGAATAGATTTTAAACCAGGAATCTGATCTGGATATCTTTTTAGTCTGAACAGACAAAAGAGCTCTGCTAAGATTTCAAAGGATTTTTTTTAAGTGACAAAGGATAATTTTATGTATTGATACAAAAGAAATCTATTAAAGTTTTGAAGGATTTTTGCTTGAAACACAGCTAAGCAGCACATCTCTGAGATTTTTTTTTAAAAAAGAGTCAAAGAATAATTCTAAAAAATCAGAAAATATGTATATGGTAGACTTATTTAACCAGGGTTAAAAGAAGACAATAATTGAATTTGGTTGCCCTTATTGGACTTTTGCTGACAAAGATGGATTTATGTATCATTTGGATCTTATTTTTCTTACCTAAGAGATGAGACATGGAGAGATGAGAGATTATGTTTTATTTAGAGGCAGTGATAAGTTATTAAAGTTGTTTTTATCTGCTGGAATGAAGGGGAAAGTCATTTCTTTTTTCTTTCTCTTTCTCCCTTTTTTAAATTACACCCCCTTTCTTTTTATATTTTTATGTTTGTATTTTTGTAATTTGTATTGACTTTTATTCTCATGTATAATTCTTAATAAAATTATTTGAAAAAAAATCCTAGGTCCAATAATCTGTAATCAATAAAATTATTTTGAAACTGTTTTTTTTTTCTTGCCTAAGCTTCTCTTCATGTTCATTTGACACCCACTTTATCAACTGAATTTATCTTCTTCCTATGTAACAAATCAGAGTAGATTACTGTAACACAGTGGCTCTCAATCTGTGGTCCGCGGACTCCTGGGGGGGGCATGATGTCAGAGCCATGAAGGCTTGAAAATTTTTTAAATCTTTAAAATTTAAATCTTGAAATAAGTCTTGGGGGTCTGTGCCTACAAATGGTATTTAAAGGGGGCCTGTGGTGAAGAAAAGGTTAAGAACCACTGCTGTAACACATTCTATATGGAGCTGCCCTTGAAGACCATCAGGAAGATTCAGCTAGTGCAGGCAGTAGTGCGCGCAGTGGTTAGAATGCAGCATTGCAGGCTACTTCTGCTGACTTCTGGCTGCCAGCAGTTTGGCAGTTCAAGTCTCACAGGCTCAAGGTTGATTTAGCCTTCTTCCGAGGTCAGTAAAATGAGGAACCAGAATGTAGGAGGCAGTATGCTGATTCTGTAAACCTCTTACAGAGGGCTGTGAAAGCACTGTGAAGCAGTATATGTGTTATTGCTATGTGTGGCCACAGGTTGGCAAACATTACATCTCTGCTCCTTAAGCTGCACTGGCTGCCAGTCTACTTTTGGGTGCAGTTCAAGGTGTTTTGTCCTTTAAAGATCTACATGGCATGGGAGCAGGTTATCTGAAGGACTTCCTTTTTCTATTGTATTTACCTGGGAGGTGTTCAGTATGCCCTGGATCTTATCGGCTAAAGAGTTCTAACAGAACCCAGAAACTGTGCCTTCTCTGCTGTGGCTCCTGCCCACTGGAACCTTATTTCCTCTATCCTTAGCCTGGGACAGGCAGTTGTGGGTGTTTGATGGTCTTAAAGGTATTGTCGCAGGATGTAAGTTGTTTTGAGTAAAGCTGCCTTTTTCAGTTGAAGGGGGAAAAAACCAGGCTTATACATGCTTATCCAGAAACAAGCCACATTAAACTTCTGGGAATCTCTTCTGAGGTTTGCAAAGAAGAAACTGATAAACTTTATTAAATTTATATGCCACCCATCTCACTGTTACAGCAGCTCTGAGCAGTTAAAGAGTAACCTTGCCTACTTCAAGGTACTATGCAAGGAAAAGGCATATGGAAGTACTAGTTAGTTTACTTCTAAAAAAGCATACAGGGGAAAGGTATTTGTAATAGGTATTGTTCCTTATTTAGGATGTTATTTGCAAGACCGCCTACTACCTCATAGTTCCCTACGTCCGGTTAGATCCCACAGGCTGGGCCTCCTTCAGGTCCCGTCGGCCAAGCAGTGCCATTTGGCGGGGCCGCGGAGGAGGGCTTTCTCTGTGATGGCGCCCACGTCTTGGAACCAGCTCCCCCCGGAGATTAGGACCGCTCCCACCCTGTTGGTTTTCTATAAGCTGCTTAAGACCTGGCTTTTTCGGCAGGCCTGGGGTTTATAAAATCTGACCCCTGGATGACTGTAATTGTACTGTTCATTTGTCATGTTTTATGTTGTTTTTATTGTTAGCCACCCAGAGTCCTACAGGAGTGGGGCGGCTTATAAATTTTAAAAATAAATAAAATAAATAAATGTTGGTTTTATTTCATGGATTCTATCTGCTTTAACTTTCCTCTGTCAACATTGGAATATAGTTCTTGAAATCTTAGTATTGGAATATAAAAGTTTTTCCTTCTAGTGTAAACACACAATAAACAAAGAATGTCTTCTTTGATAGACAGAATATGTATTGGGTATGACAGATTTTTTTATATATACATTACACTATGTAAGGAATGCTGAAATAATCATACTATTATTTTGAAATACTGGCAGCTACAAAGTGATTCCAAATAAAGGATCTTAAATTAAGAGTTGCAAGGCCATTGTATTCAAATTATTATTTGTATGTGTTCTTACTCCTGGGTGCCCAAGAAAAAATGAAATGAGATTATATTCCTATTTAACAAGCTATTGTAGCCAGTGGAGACATCAAATGATACCAGGCAAAAGACCACATGGTGGTCTGCGGAATTAATATAGTATTAATTTTTCTTAATACTTCATTATTAGTCATTGTGGCTGAGCTATGGCAGTTAAAGTCCCAAATATCTGGAGATTTTCAGACTGCTTATCTCTTATTTAAAATTTGATTTCTTCTCTGGCAGGCTTTTTCTTTCCAATCGCAAAAGTGAGATGGGTGGCATATAAATTTAAGCCACTTCTTTTATTCCCAAAATGGGGGATCAGAACAAACAGTTGAAGATTGAGATGTAACACGGAGAATAGAAAATAAAAATGCGGTTTTACATGATATACAATTGGCTTGGGTTTTCTTAGTTCTTTTTTCTTAACCTAACCTCAATGAAGAATTTTTCATTGGGAGAATACTGTCTACACTTTTTATTCTATTTTAAGAATATTTAAAAGCTTATCTAGTCTCATCTAAAGGAGAAGATAGCAAAAACCTAGTTGCCGCCGTATCTCCAGGACTAATGTATTCTTTTTTATTTTCACTGCCTCTTATGAACATTTATAATTTCCACTTAACTAAACCGTGGAAAACAAAAATGGATAAAACTGCACGCCTCCCGCCCCAATAAACAACCCACCGCTCAACATCCGTCTTTTAACCCGGAAGCTACCTATTCTTTCCGTTGATCTTTTTTGATCTCTATGGTAGTTCCGGTTTCCTTGATTTCCTCCCATAATTCTTGTGGCTCTTCCTTTCCGCGCTTGTCCTAAGTAGGGTGAGTAGCCGTAATGTGGGTTTTGGTTGTTATCCTACTCCATCCGTAGTGATGGGCCTTTTTAGGGCCGGGGCTCTGAGCCATCCCGGTTGTTGGAATAATGTCGTTCACAGAGGACTGTATGTTTTCGTGCTGGCATTGAAAAATTCCCCATCGGTGCCCGAAATGTTTTTTTTCTCGCAGTGACAGTCTGCACGCAGGCCCAGTTCGCGTTTTGCTTGAATGTGTAAAAATAGAGATGGCTCGAGCTCCTTAGAAGCAACTGAACACATTAATGACTAATATAAAACAGGCTGGAGGGCAAGAAAGACGATTGATAATATATATTATCATATATATGAATATTATTCTAAAGAAGCCTCTAGGAAGATACATAGAAAACATCAAAAATCCCGATGTCTTTTTGTCTAATAAAATGAAATGTGATTTTTATCTTTAGTACTAATCAATAAAATTGTGTATTCAAAAAGTTTAATTCATCGCCCGAATATGAATCGTGAATTAGTGTATTCTTGTCCGTAGACATAGATTTGTTAACATGTTTCTTGGAATGTTTCTTCAGAGGGAGCATCAGCCATTTGTATTTTCTTAGGTGCTGTGTAAAAAGCCCAGGGTGTGCTTTTTAGCCATGTAGCAAATATAAGTAAATTCTATTTTTTATGCTTTTCCCCCAATTGATATTCCACATACTTTAGCTGTAAAGAACTGCACCATTGAATAATTTGTTTTATTATTCTAGAATTTTGCTGAGATAGGATTTCTTATGCAGTATTTGGGGTCTGGTATAATACCAATGTTCAGTAGTATCTTAGTTGCAACACTAACATTATTGATAGAATACTATTCAGTAACTCAAGATTTGAAGGGACTGAATGTGATGTTATGACAGAGACTTAGCGATGCTCATTGTTAACCTCTCTAAACTTATTTTGCCACTACTATTTAGTCCCATACTTTCAACTTGTTAGATGTTGGATGAGCTCCCATCATGTCCCATCTCCTGTCCACTTAGCATTTTGAAAGCATGCAAATGCAAGTAGATAAATAGGTACCACTTCCTTGGGCATCGCCTGGGCAAGGGCGATCTCATTGGCTAATCCTTTCAACCTGGAAGCGCCTTTGTAAAGGTATTTCTGATAAGAACATAGTAGTAGTTAGATATTTCATTTTCTAATGAAATAATGGTATAGTTAGTGAATAGAATATGTGAAAATATATTGGACAAAAAACTAGCATTGCCTTCCTTGTTCAAAAGGAATGTTGCCCAAAATTGCGTTGGGGCTGTCCCAAAATTCAGGAGTAGATTTTGTAGATGATAAAGGATTGCAAAAACAAGAATAATCCTAGTACGTATTCTGCTATCAGAAGCCATTTGTCCTCTGGAGCTAGTTGGATAGTGAACATTATTCAGTATTAAATAATTAGATTCACTTTTATCAATGGAAGTGAAAAAACTGTTTTTAATCTGGATATATATGCATTGTGTGAAACTTGATGTAATACATTAATGCTCTTTTACAAAATTCTGTGTAAAATATTTTTGTTGCATATTATGAACAGATGGCCCCTGCAAAGAAAGGTGGTGAAAAGAAGAAAGGTCGATCAGCGATCAATGAGGTGGTTACTCGAGAATATACTATAAATATTCACAAAAGGATCCATGGCGTGTGAGTGGTTTTTCTCTATTGGAATTTTGATCAGGCTGTTTTAATTTTCAACATTTTGTTAATTATCTTTTAAAATACCTTTAATTTTTTTAAATTCGGAAATAGAATAGTCATTGCTAAGGTTGTTTCATAAGACGTACTTATCAGATTTATTTGAAAAGAAATATGAATGTAGAATGGCACAGATACTACAAGCATTTAATACCACAGGGCCAGATAAATTTCTGGGGTATTATGGACTGGCTCAGGTAAAAGCCCTGAAAGGTAGTATTTAGTGTTGCCATAATCTGTCCCGTTTATAAAAAAGCCTGAAATGAAAATATTGGTCAGCTGGTTGTAATATTTTTTATCAAAAGTATGACATCACTGCTGTCAGAGTGCTGCTACCAATGTTGTAGTTTGAGAACTCTCTAGAGCTTCCTGAATTTGCCCTTTTTTGCCCTAAAATACCTGTTTAGAACACTAAACTCCCTGAATTTTGCTTCTGCAAATTGTTTCCAAAACATACCAAAAGTA